GAACCGATTTAACACCGTTAGCATTACCAATGTGACCCAAAAACTGTGGGGATTCTTTGCCAAATTTACACTTCTGTAGATTGATTGTAATGCCATATTCAAGCAGCCGTTCGAACAGCGTCCTCAGATGTTGTGGGTGCTCTGTTTCAGATGCGCTAGCTACTATTAGGTCATCTGTGTATGCACTGACGAAAGGTGAGCCATGAAGTACCTGATCTATAAATCTTTGAAATGTTTGAGCAGCATTTGTCAAACCAAACGGCATACGAATAAATTCGAATAGTTCGCAGGGGTAGTGATGGCCGTCTTAGGAACATCATTGGGTTCCACAGGAATGTGGTAGTAAGCTCGCCCAAGGTTAATCCTGGAAAAAATATTCACTTTTTGTCATAGAGTTCATAAAATCATGTATGTGAGGAATTGGATACTTATCGGGGACCGTACGCTTATTCGACGATCGATAAACAACGACGTGCCTTACCGTCAAACTTCTTGTGATATCAGCACGTGCTGCTTTTAGATGCAGTTCTACTCGTGGTTTTATCACGACCGCGGGATCTGCTCCTACAGAACTTCGGTGAACGTCGGATTAACTGCATAGCCGTCAGTTGTCCAATAAGTATGTCGGTCCTCCTCCCTAAAGCAGCTGCTCGGTCGTTTTGCGTTGACTCAGCGATACTTTCAACCTGTTTAGGCATCCTTTCGTACATACGGTCAGCGATGTCAGCCAACCTGTCAATGTCAGCCAATCTGTCAATGTCCGCATCCCTGACAGCTAATATCTGCTGACCACGTGAAGAAAGTCTCCGCAGACAGAGCTGGTAGAATAAACGGTTGTCTACGTTCCTACCTTCCAGCAAACTTTGCATATGTCGCTTAAGTTGTGGTGTTCTGTCACCAAGACGTACGCTACTTAGTAGTTGATTGACAGCCTTTTGATCAGATAATGAAGTAGCTTTCAGCACTTCTTGCTTCAAAATATCGTAAGGTGTGTCTGGGTGGGGCTTTAATAGTGTCTCCCTTACTTGTTCAGCCACTTCTTCCGGAAAAACAGAGCTTGTGTATCAGAACTCTGTATTTTGTGAATTTATATGACTGGCCACGAAGACGGACAAACCACAATTGCGGGCCATTAAACTTAAAACAAGGCATAGGAAGATTAATGGCACCCACGGACCCTACATTCGAAAGGTCTTGATTATGACAGTTTAAGAACATCAGTACTGGTACAGCAAAAATTTTTTTAAGAACAAGAGTAGGGAAAATACAATAAACAAGTATGCCAATGCCTACCACAGAACAGCCGGAGAAATTCTCACTAAATATATATGTATATCCATATTGTATACAGTTATTAATGAGTGTAAATATCAGGAGTTAACGTGAAGTATGTATCAGGATATTGTATTGGTCAACGAGTGAGCAAAACGCGTGTTCTTATCAGTACAACTAAACAAAAATATTCAACGAGTTGTTACATAAATCAACATAATACAGTTAAATAAAATGCTACAAGGTGACCGGTGACTGTGGTGAGGCTTTATTCGAAGTACTTTGGAGACTTGCCGTTTCTGAGGGTAGCACACTTTTACCATGCGTGTCAGTAAATAGATGAAGATAATAACAGTTTCAATAAGAGGAGCAGAGCAGTAAAAATGTAAACCTAGTAAACAGAAGACTTTTGACCTTATCTTTGATCGTTTTTTACTACAACTCTGTCGAATCCCAGACCTACTAAGTTCTGGACGTAGGAGTCAGTGAAATGTGTTTTGCTGCAGATGCAATAATCTGAGCTATAGCAGTTGGTTGAGACAGCTAGACCTACTACACAGTTATCTATTTATATAGCGTAACAGTGGTGATGAAGTAAGCAGTGTTACTTTCTGCAGCGAAATCGTTGCAAAAATGTTGAATAGGGATTTGAAAGTTCCTGGTGTATAGTGGTAAAAGTGGATTTTATCGAGAGGGATGGCGACCAGCAAAAACACGTCACTATGCGAGGAGCGGAGGCAAGTAGCTTGAGTGGTTTTGCAGTCACTGCATTTACTGAATGCGAGAATTTGTTGAATAATTGCTGCCATCCTCCCCAAACATATGTAGTACAAAAGTCCTTTATCTTCCTCGTGACCTGCAATAATGCCTGCATATGTTGTAATAGTTGTGGGGGAATTTTATCTCTGAATTCTCTGCCGCTTAACTGATGATCCAATTCTTGCCTGTCAGAATATGTGGTACGTTGGATGACCGCATGCTTAATAGTGTCTTATGGAGATCCGGTACCCACTATACAGTGTGCTGGAGTATTCGATCTGCTTTTTCATCTGGTAGGTTGGAAGAGCGAATTCACCATTCTGTCAGGTGGTCTTGTTTATAATGAAGTAGCCTCTAACCTGGCTATCCATAATTGTGAATCTCTAGTAGTGATTAATAGAACATAAAGGGAGGGAGCGTTGACGAACTCCGCCTCCAAAGAAATGACAATTATGAAAACAGAAAGAGAAAAATAAGTATGAGAGGAGAATAAAAATTCAAGTAAGCCACTAACAAAAAGGAACAGTAGGTTTGCTGGGAGTGATAGTTTCTGGAAAATGAGTCCGGGATGTGCAATATGTCGGGAAAGAGATTAGGCAATCCACAAGATTTATGAGATCAAAATCCATAATTTGTTTGCGCAGGCTCTGGGGTCACTACTTCTGTGTCATGAATGCTCAGCAGTGATAGTCACAAGTGAGTTACAATGTCAATGCCGGCAATGTAAGTTGATATCACCGTTGTTCGACTAGAAACTTATGGTTTTCATCCAAACCAACGGGTGCCAAAAAAAACACGACAATGAAAGGTAACGAAAAATTAATAGAAGACAACTCAGCAAGGAGAATTTTCTTTCCGAATGATCATTTTCAGAAATTGTACATCGTAATCACAGTTACGACAACTTATGCATCTATCGATAGCTAATAGGTCGATAAAAACCATCAAAAACGGTCAATGAAGTCACAGACCAATAGCAGTTAGAAAGTCAAATCAAGGGCATCAAACACTGTTGATAGGATCATGGTAGATCAAGAAAGAAACGAACAATCTGTGACCAACTAACAATTAGAGATGGAATGTATCCGTTTTCAATGCAAAGATCAGGCTTGTTGCACTGGATTGCTTACGCCTCTGCTTTGTAGAGGTGGTAAATCAAAAGACAAATTCCTTGATATTTGAAAAGAGAGTTCCATATTCAGTGTATGTAAAGAAAATTTGTTGCAATATGAATGTAATACCAATACATAGAATATTTGCAAAGACACTCGAATAAAGTTGCATGGGACTGACAGCATGTCCACAGGAAGAGATATGGGTCTCAACTTCTCTAATATTAAACACCAGTCCCTTTTGTAACAACATGGTAGCAAGAGCGAATGCCATTCTACACTTCCGACGAAGATGGCTCAATGATCTCATGCACAAAGGAGGAGAACATATCCTGATGGACTCAGACACTCGAATCCACTTGCATTCAGTTACCGCGAAAAGAGAACTTACCAGCTCACCAACCAGGCGAGCCAGGTGAACACGCCTACCCTACCAGTTACTTGATGGTCACCAAAAGGAATTCCGACGACAACGGTATGCCAAAGAATTAATTCCTAGCTCAGATCAAACTTCTTTTCCTGGGAAACATGTGGATTACAAAATGGCCCAGGAGCTGTGTTTAAGACTTAAAAAGCTATCATCTTACTACACTCGTGACATGAATGTTGTATTTAGGGCTAAGTTTGTCTTATAAGAAAGACATAATTAAATCATATGCCGCCTATAATACCTCAGAAGCCCATGTAAATCCCTGATGTGCGTAAATGTCTTCCTCTAATCTCAGTTATCTATGATTAACAATTTGTTATTACAGATAAAATCACTGATGGACTAGACTGCGTCTATTATCTCTCATTTAGTATGACAAATAAATTTTTTGTCCAAAGTGCTGTGAAGCATAGAGCTTCGACCGACCGACGATTCATAGTGATCTTCGAAACACTTCACAGTGTTATTCCCTCACTGTTTTTTTATTAAGTTAGCTGTATAACACCACATAGTTTGTAAGTGCGACACTTACCGTTTATGAGTTGCACTTGTTCAAAACTCAAGAGTAAAATGTGACCTAGATAGCCAAGTTCATACTTTCCAAGAGGAGGCATAATGGTTTACTCGAACTTGTACGTTCGTGCCGACAAACAGAGATGAACAGTATCACTAGTTTGCATAACTTTATAAGCAAACATTTCAACACTAATTAAGAAAGTGACAAGTAGCTTTGGTGTTAAGGCTCAAATGACTGAATAACATCCAATGGAGTTATAAATTTGTGGAAATCTCACATTCAACTATGAACTGATCTGGTTTAGAAAACTTAGATTTTGTATAAAATGAACATTGTTTTTTGTTAGTTTACTGAAATTCAAATACCGCAGTTCTGTTTTGTCAGTTGGACAGATTCTGTTATTTTTTAAGTGTTACGCTTATATGTGGATATGGACTTTTTGAATATAAACTCGGCTATTGATATGAGTTAAAGTCAAATTTTAAATGATACAATCACAAAAGAATTAAAAATTTTCAGGTGAACTGAGTGTCAACACTATTGAAGTTATTTGTCTACCTAAACCTCACTACAGTTCAAGAGAGTTTATTAATCATAATCATTCAGGAATGACAAATGCTCTTGGTGCTTAAAAGTGTGCGAAGATTTGGTGGCGTCGTTTAATGTACATAGTTCACTTAAACAATTCTCATATTGGAAATAAAATAATGAGGGATTTCTAAATGTATTAAAGGATATGAATCTATTTAAATGACTTTTAGCTAACTGACCTTACGTTCATTCAAAGCTAATGTATATTCCCCTTCGCTTTCAAACCCGAATTCAAAGCTATGGTGTTTTACGTGATATAAGTTCCCATATGGTTCACAGCACATTCAAATACCTATCTAATGGTAAACGATTATCATTTGACGGAAATCTCTTCATCTTATTATATGTATTCACTAAGATTATTAAAACAAAACACAACTTTCTAAAGTACAAGTGTACATTTTGGGGCCATTACACACTAATTACTGTTAGAAACTAATTATCATTAAGAAGGAAATCCAAGCTTATAAACTGATTACTGTTTTCTGTTGACTCTTACGGCGTGAATAAATTCTGCATGTATTAAACTAACTGCTTGCAGACTTGCTCATTGAAATGGTCAACCTTCCATATGAACCGCCCCACCTTGTATTAACGTCGGTAAACAATGAAATGAACACATAGTTAACATTTTTGCCCATTCATTATCAACTGCATAACCATCAAAAGAATCTAGTTCAGATTGCCATATTACATTCAATACTTTTCTTGAAATAACTCTGCTTTGACAATTGGATTATGCTTGTAAAAATGGTACATAACTCACGTACCTTATGTTACGTGAAATTTATTGTTAGTAAATCAGATTGTAATTACGAAATGTACATATACAAATTAAACAAGCTGTATATTGTTTCACAGTAGCACTTAAGTATAATTTACTTCATTGGAAATGGCATAAGGCTTGGTTGTGATAATTAGTTGTTAAAAGAAAAGAAGTTAGAAGTGAAGAAAGGGAATGAAACAAATGACTTATCACCATTTATTGAAGAGAAGAAAGGAAATTGATCTTAGATGAATTTGCAACATAGACACATCCAACAACAAGATCCATAAAGATGAATAATGCAATTTTAAACCATAAAACAATAAATTGAATAAAACAGTGCTTTTCGATATGATACATATTTTATTTAAAGATGTGCAAATACTGACTTCCCAAGACAGAATTTTCCCTTGAAATCCTCCCCATAAATTGATTGGTTACGTTTGGTATTACACCTCAGCTATCGGAATCTAGAATGTTATAAACAAGACTTGAATAATAAAATCAATCATAATGATATAAATATACACATGTCGAGATATATATTCAATGTTTTGACGTGAATAAACTGTTCACAAAAATCTTGATCTCCAGACTATTATCACGAGAAGTAGAAACATCATGTTTAAAATTCGGGGCTAGAATTAAGTTTTGAACAAAAGGTTTCAGATTGCTAAATGAGCTACGCGACAAAACAACTAGTCAAGTTATATTTTAACTAGAATTCAAGATTTTATTCTGGATATAGATAAACACTTTTTCGAACAAGAACAACTTGAGCGAACAACTATTTCCAATAGCTTATTCTACAGACTCTACAGCTATAAATTCATGAGAAAACGTGAAATACAATGGCTAAAGTAAGACATAGTGTCAAAATGATTTCATCATCGCAGTAGTCAGTGTTATGAGTGAATGGAGATCAAATCAAATGGATATATTCATCTTCATATCTTCATATTAATTCAAATGGCTGAGTTACAGAATAAGAAACATATCTTTCGATGACTGTATTGAAGAAATGAATTACCTGAAGAAAACATTGGAGCGAAATGGTTACCTGATAAGCTTCGTAAATAAATACATGTTGAGACCTTTGAGATGATGAAGAAGGGTAATGTTGCTAAGATTCCTTTATATGTAAAACTAAGTTTCAAATGTGATATTGCCTTTAATATCTTAACACACCACTGAGTAGATCAGTCGTAAAAAACACTACCCCAAAATTTTTTGACGGCTTCTCAACCAGACCACTATGGAAACAGTGAAGGAAGGATAAGTTACCAATGATGGCCACTTCAATGTGTATTTATGAGTTCAACTGCTTCTGTGGAGTTAGTTACAAAGGCCGTACTGAGAGGGTTCCATCCATGAGAGCTTGTGAACATATACCAGCGCTGTTACAGAAAGGAATGACAAAGTGCATCAATAGTCCTCTTGCATCTAGTAGATACTGGACATCAGATGAACGTAGATCACGCCTTTTCTGTGATATATCGTGTCTCTTCCAATCTCTCCAATGTGGCGCGGCTACGCATATTACCTACCCATAGCCGAAGCTGCAGGTATCAATCCAAGGAAACCTATTCTATTTGTTGAAAAAAAATATACACTCTGTTGACCTTGGTTCACAATAAGGGAAATACGTTCTTTACAAAATTCTCACCGTAAATTTTGCATCTTAACCTCCCATCTCTTTCTTCTACATTATCTCATTACATTGACAAACATTCATTTTCTTAGGTTATTCGTTTTATACCATTATCGGTAGTCACTCTCAACCGTTGCGTAACACTTTCCATTTATTACTCTGTATTTACTTACTGTATTCACATGATATTCCACCTTATTCAGATGTAACTCATCGCTACATAATGATTATTTAACCGCTAGTAAACAAATACACATACATTCATGCCCCAGTAGATGTATATAAATGGATCATTATCTACAGATTTTGTCTCTTTCGTAATTCTTTTGTCCATACTGACTATATTGCACAACTAACACCTGATAAAACTTTATATCAATTTGACTTGATCTCCATTCACTCATAACACTGACTACTGCAATACTGAAATAATTTTGACATTGTGTCTTACTTCGGTTACTGTATTTCACCTATTCTCGTGGATTTATAACTATGAAGTCTAAAGAATAAGTTATTGGCACTAATTGTCCGTTCAACTTATTTTTGTTCTCAGTAGTCTATCGAAATCTTTAAATTATTAAAAACATTTTTTAGTTGCTCTGGTTTTATTCACCGAGACTATGAATAAAGACAAACTTCATAGTAAACTCGGACTCATAATTGCATGTGATAATAATTTAGTACATTTGTGAGGCTTTTTTGGTTTGAAAAATCGGAAGCTTTACATTTGTCAGCTCAATTGAAATCTAGAGCTTAAGCTACGAGAGAAAGACAAATAAACGTGAACAATGCGTCAATTTGTTAACTGGCTTAGCCTGAACACGTTGAATATGCTACAAGTATTTCAAAAATCCAATTTGTTATGCTGTTTTTTCCCTTTATGCTGCCACAGTTGACTAGAAGAAACAAAAAAATGCTCCATAGTCAATCAGAAAGAATGTTCTAAATCCCTTTAAATCGTCCAGAATCTTGATTAATTTTTACTAGTTAAAGCATGAAAGTTGCCTGTTTTATCAGTTTTCAAAAACCCTGTCAAGAATTTAGTGCACAGCTTAAAAATGGTAGTAGAAAACAACAGATTACGATAAGCAATAAAGCAGACCAAGGTTTGATATCACTGAATGGAAAACGGGTCAGAACAACTTGAGGCCACTTTTCTCAATGTCGACCGGATTCATGCGAGAGTAAAGCAAAGTAATATTTCAGTTTCCAAGAAATATTATGCTAATGTAGCACTCCACTGTCACTGCAAAAACAGTGAGCAGCATAAGTAACTCTAAGCGTTAATTTCATATCTGTAAGTTTCACTAGCCAGATTGAAGTGATCTAAATCACATACAATAGCTTATGTCTTCAAGATTGAACTCATAGATAGTGTAACCAGATGAATCTATCCAGCAAAACTGAAATGTTCAGACGAATTAAATGTAATCAGCTAAGGTAGAAAGGTCAATTTACCCTAAACTATTTAAAAAGAATGTACATTACTTGCAAACTACACGGTCCATATCTACACTTGAATTGCTTCCACAAATGAAAATATAATGCAAAGTGGAACTAATAAACACAAAAAGAGAATAGTACGTAGTCGCGCTTAAGAATATGAACTACAAATGACCTTATCATAGATATAAAAATGCACTATATTGCATTTAATTATCACCAACAGTTTCAGAAAGTAAAGTGAAACGAATTTCCTCTCTAACAGTTATCTCTACTTACTTATTAGAAATCCTATCAGATTCTTTTAGCTCTACCTTTTAATCTCAGGTTCAACACTTTTTTCTGTCTCGAAATGGAAAACTGAGAATAAGAACTTGCTACGGGCCATGAAAATGTTTAGAAATGAAATAGGGATTTACATAGTTACTGAAATGTACTTACTACATGATTATTACTTATGATTACGGATAATTTTTGATAAGTTTTTCAAAAGTGGTTAAATCAGTAAGGATAGAAATAGATAATAAGAGGAAATCATTTAAGCTATGCAGACCTGTCTTACAGATAATTAAATAAACATTAAGTTAATGCCACCAAGGATTTCAGATCAACAGAAAGCCGATGAGGATAATTATTTTTTTAAGGTAGCATTCATCATGGACTGGCATCAGATGGAGAACCATTGCGAACCTGAGAGCAGTTGACAGCTGTTTCATCCTAGTATGGGACTCGTCAGTAGCACACCCCACAACCCGGCTAGAGATCGGACTCAGGACCTCGATAATGAAAGCTACCTTAAAAGTAAAACCTTCGTTAATCTCAAAATACTATACCGTACAGTGCTCATTAGTGACGTGTTTCCAGATAGGCATCCCGAAGTTCTAATGAGAAGCTGTGACTTATAGATGGAGTCAACCAGCCGACGGTAAAGCGAATGCTATCTGGAGACCTATATCGCGAATCAAAATAAGTAGGAAACTGTGAACCATTGAACTTCGACCCAGTGAATGAGTGGTTAACATGTTCGTCCTGAAATCTGAAGATCTTAAGTTTGATCTCTAGCCGGGTCATGGATGCGTACTGCTGAGAAGTTCTATACTAAGAAGCAACAACTGTCTAGTGCTCTAAGGCTTTAAATGGTTCTTAAACTGATGTCAGTTCATGATGAGTGCTAACTTGAAAATAAATTCCTTATTCACCTCAAGAGATTAACTAACACATTCAGTTTATTTATAACGGTAGATATACTACGATTTACCGGCTATTTCCAGTTCCAGCTGTGATTATATGACGTAAAACTCTAAGATAGCGATATAACAATGAAGGAGAAATTATCCATCTTAGTGAAATCATATGAATCAGTCCTCTTTTTACTAATGATGATAAACATGATCACAAACCTTAGGGATTTACGTACATCAAGGTATTAAAACACAACCCAGTGTAATGTGGTAAACTCGTACCTTACCTTGCTTAAATAGTACTGAGGTTCTAGAAATTCGAAAATTCTTAACTTTTTGCACAGCTTATAGTCAATCGGCTGCGTAAACCCATGAATTTTTTTTACCTCAATCTGAATTGAAAATAGAACGTGTGTCAATTTATAAATATACCGATTATTAGATATAGTGTAAGTTAAATTTCCTGGTAGTTTTGAACTTCACCCCGTAATAAACATTCACTGCATACATGTACAAAAATAATCAGTAAACTGTTAACATTTTAAAGTAAGCATTTATTACAAGACTATTCAGTCTATCTAACCTTCTCATTAGTTTTACAATGTCGATGACGGTGATGTACGTACTGGTTGAGATGATGTATTTGCCGACCTGTTATAGGATTATTTGACAAAGGATTTTTCACATCAACACATGGTTTTACACTTTCTGTTATATTATGACTTGTACAGTTTGAACTGTTTGCCTGAACTGAATGCGACGGTGACAGTTCTTTCGAATACAACTGGATGTAATCTTTGTCCATGTGATTACATCTTTCATTATTCTGTATATCAGTGGAAATGTAATCTGAAGCTGCATGCACTTGTTCTTTGTTCAATTTTACAGTATTAACGTCTTGTTTATGGATTCTCTGGCTGGAATTTCGGCTGTCTTCAAATGAGGAAACTATAGAAGAGCACAGAAGATATGTTAACAATGGCAGGTAAAAAAACAGAATACAAAATGTGCAACATTATAGTAACTGATCAGCTATGGTTAATGAGTTCTGTTTTAGTGATAGTTATATGTCAACATAAAAAATTGTTACACCACTAAAGTGTAAAAGGGGAAGATTCATCTTTTGAAGAGAAACAATTAGTTCCTTTCAAAAATTTAGATAATGTAATTAGAAGACAAAGTTTATGTGAACAGTGTGGTGTATTTGCATAAAACATTTCGAACAATCTGATCACACATTTACTTACTAAGTAAATTTATATAAAAACGAATAGGAGGACAAATGGAACAGATAAGATAATGAGAGATTAAAATTAAGAAAGATGAGAACAAAAAGGAAGAGTGACACAGTTGATCCTGATTTTGGTAGGAAAGCAAAGTTTAGCAATGTAGGTGTAATATCAGAACAAATTGTCTTTGTACACATAAAGGTGGTTTTAACTTGTATATGTTTATTGTTTCCGCAAATCCCTGACTGTTTGTAAATGAAAAACAGTTTCTATGTAGAAATAGTCAGGGATTTATACTGAGATTTGCGGAAACAATAAACATATACAAGTTAAAACCACCTTTATGTGTACAAAGATAATTTGTTCTGATATTACACCTACATTGCTAAACTTTGCTTTCCTACCAAAATCAGGATCAACTGTGTCACTCTTCCTTTTTGTTCTCATCTTTCTTAATTTTAATCTCTCATTATCTTATCTGTTCCATTTGTCCTCCTATTCGTTTTTATATAAATTTACTTAGTAAGTAAATGTGTGATCAGATTGTTCGAAATGTTTTATGCAAATACACCACACTGTTCACATAAACTTTGTCTTCTACTTAAACTATCTAAACTTCGTATTTGCTGAAATTTCTCAGGTTTTCTTAGGAAAACTCAGGTGTGTATAATATACTTTGATAAATTATGAGATTTTAGCTTAGTCATTTTTGAGCATTTCACTTTAAATGCAGTGGTTTCCACAAAGAAATTATTCAGATAGTATATGAGTATATTTGTAATTCATATTCCGGACATTTGTTATTCAGTCTTCAATTAACACGGAATATTTTCCTGTGAAAACTATCAGAACAAAATGAGCATTATTTTTATTTCTGGCTGTCTAAAGCAGAAGACGTACACCTTAAACCTACTGAGATTTTATCTCCCATTAAGTTATGCGATAGGAACACGTTGAGTGACGATGCAATTCAACGTTGTTCTAAAACCTGAAGATGGAACATAGCATCATCGGCTATATTTATCTCCAGTGATAGCACATTTTACTTAAATCTACGCGCACGTTACAGCAATCAGAATGCTGATAGCGTGATTGTTTGAGGGCAAAGAGTGAATCCTCAAATAGGAGCCCATATGCCGACGAAAGCTGATCAAATCAGTCCAAACCCGTCAATAACGGGAAATAAAAAGTCATAATATTATATGAAACAATGTTAGAAAAAGTCAGCGTAGAATCTCTCACATAAGGGCTTCACGTACCACACTCCACATTTGCAAGCAAATAACGAATCAGTAGAAAAATATTAATACCTAAGTAGATAGAGGCATATGAGAGGAGAAGCGATCTGAAGAGAAAAGTCTGTGAAGATGTTTACGCTTTGGAATACGCCAAAACCTCAATATATCCACGACATTGTGACTGATCTTCAGCGATGTCACCAAGGGTCTCTAACCATTGATTTTTATCATCTCGGGGACGCCAGCCAGGTAGTCTACTCCTCGCCTAACCACTCAGACCAACAGTCAAACACTTCAATGACTGCTACCACATCTTGATCTGCCTACCCTCAGCGTTCTTCCAACCTAATCCAACTTCCAGCATTAGAAGTCGAGGTAGACAGTGGCTCCACATCCACAGTGCATGTTAAGGCCGCTTTTGTCACTGAAGGTCCACAACCTCATGTGCCGACTTGCTTATCTTGCCTAGTATCTTTTGCCCAGCCATAACATCGCTCCACACGATGATCTACCAATCATAAGTAATAATATGAAGACATCTGTGTTTGACAACCCATAATTCGCAATATCTTTTGCTTCCAACGCTTCTACAAGTGAATTGGCTCATGCCGTCAGCCACATCACTCCATATCTCTAAGCTGAGAGTAGCTGTAAAGCAGTCTCAAAGCATCGTCATACATTTGAAAGGAGTAAAGTGCATGAATCAGTGTTGGCAGAAACAGCATCCTATCATGAGAGTGGGACAGGAGATCCTTTTTTAAAGAAGAAACGTTCGACTATTAAATAATCAAGCTGTAAGAATAATGATACATCAGTTTATACAATTTACTTAACACGCTTTTCCATCGAAAAATGTTTACTTTAATGGATGAATGCATCGAAAAATAACTGCGAAGTCTTTTTGAAATCACTACAAGCTAACAAAATCATAGAGAAAATATTGCAAGCTTTTTTGTTAAAATATGTGTTAAATGGTCGACATATATATTACCTGTTGGCAATGGTGTTATATCATCCCACCGAACAGACCATAGTTTGGAATCATCTACTGATAGCGGTTGTATAAGCATAGATGGGAAAACACCTCGTTTAGAATAAATTTTAGGCATTTCCTTCTTTTTAGTAGATTCAGGTAGTAGAAGATCGCCTTCCCACCACCCATCATCTATACCAGAACTGGGAAGTGAGGTAAATTGATCTCTTTTAGCTGTTTCAGATAAGAAATTAGTTACATCGCTTATGTTTGGTGCACGGCCAATCACACGGATAATTGCACCAGCTTTAAAGCTTAATTCATCAGAGTTGGTTCCATGAAAATCAATTAATGTTTTTACAAAAGAACCAGAAAGAGGTGGTTTAGCAGCTGCAGTATTAGTAGGTTCTAAAAGTAAGAAAGATAAGATGAACAAATTTACGATTTATGCAGAGTTACCGTACAGGCAAATCATCAAACTTCTACCAAGTTGGAAGATTGTCTTAAATTTACAACTACTTGTCTTCGTAAAACAGAAGTTTGAATCATTGCAACGGATTTCTATACTTTTTGTTGGTAGCCAAATGCTAAAAAGTGTTAACCACACAGTGTACATTTAATAAAGTACGCAGCTGACTTAGTATTGGAAGAAAAAGCATGAAATTTGTACTTTTGGAGAGTTTACGTAACATTTCTGAGCTCAGATTCCATCCACATAAACAAAGATTACACGGAATTCTAAGCCTTATACAACAGAAATAGACTGCTTTCTTTGCAACCCAATTTTGTGTTTGTTCTATCTTCCCCTTCATCGTTCGTTTTAGCTAAATTATTAGACATTTCCCACAGTGGAACAATATTATTCACCGGATTACTTTTCGGATAGAATTTATTGTCCATAGTCATATCAAGGTAATGCCACAACTTTGAAACATGGTTTACATAGTTTTAATCTTACATCCTCCTTTGTGACATGGATAGTAGGTTTTTCTGTATATTCAGAACAGAGGTTAAGTCATCCCTGTTGCATGTCATCAACTTCTTCAACCCTAGTGGATTAGTTTTAAGGATTTTTACCCTGTTCCATCCTATCGTGTGTAATTGTATGCATAGCTATGGCCAACCCTTCTTCTAAATTCCTTATATTTCTAGGGTCCACCGATTTTGATCTAGCTGGGTTTTTGTATTCGGGTGGCTTAAGTGACCCTGACTGACTACTTTGACCTATGTATTTGACCTTGCAACTGCTTTAAAGGATTTGGTAAACTGAATTATCCTACCTAGTTGGATCATTTGGATCTTTTAACGTACAAAACTTCTTTCTAAATGATTTTGTAAGTTTAAATGCCACTCTCAACCTTACTGAGAATCCTATGTGATATCTCTGAGGTTACTTTCTTGTATGGTAGTACTGCAGAGGTTTTGAATTCTCTCTCCACAGTATTGTCACTATTATTATTAAGATCACTGTCATTACTACTATTGACACCTGTGTTACTAATATTGCTCTTTCTATTTTATTTCATTTAGCATTTTTTAATTCCCTAAAAGTCATGTTGGTCATTGAGAATTGATGGCTTTACTGCTGATTCACTTGGTTCATTGTCTGATACATTTTTGATGTAATAGTTATCTACTACAAAAAGATTTTCTCAAAACTGCTTTTATTTTTTGCTCAATCCATTACTTACCATTTGTAACTTCATTTTTCCCTGTTTTGTTCGCCTCAGTGTTGTGCATGGTATTCGTTGGGGTTTGTTTATCATTAGCATTAATTTTGCCTTGTCCTGAAGTGACCTTTATTTTTATAACTACCATTGTTTGACTATGTGATACAGTCATGATGATAAGTGATTTATGCTACATTTCACCTTCGAATTTCAATATATGTACAGAATGCATTTTCAGAAATATTTCAGCGCTTCAACTTTAGAGTTTTATACTGTCATAATTTTTACGGCGGACTTTTATTGTGATATCTTATCTATAATCGAAACATGTATTGCGATGTTTAGATTGTACCCATAACTCGTAGTGTGTGGTTTTCAGGTGTTTATCACTCCCAACGCTAAAGGTAAAACGAATGTGCACCCCGTAGATAAACAAACTACAAGACAAGCTGTAAGGACCGGTTAAATTGTTGATTTGGAAATTACTCTGAGTCTTGATATAATATATAAACCTTATTTTCAACAGAGTTCATGCCAATGGTCTCCCCATTCTACATTTGATATGAGCCGATCTACAATTTCTGCTGATTATAAGTTTGTTTTTTGAATTTCTTCATGTTTATATTACCTTCAGAATCTCTACAGACTGGATGACAATCCTACTTGGTTTCCAAGAAATATCACGCTGTATTCTACTCACATAAGTTTGTGTGAGTAGTGTGCATAACAGCACAAAGACTTAGTGGACAGAGCAGTTAGATAATGGGTATTTGGATTTTTGTAGAGGTAACACTGACTACTTGTGAACATAAAACACAGATTGTTTAATCCTAGCTCCCACTGCTTCTGCACTATATGAAACTTTAACCCAATGATCAAGGAAATGTCGCATCAGTGGTGCGACTAAGTGTTATTGCTGAAAATTTCCACAATATTTCCAGTCAGTTTAAAGTCGACACTTCAAAAACTGTAAGATAATATTACATATTACTATATTACTCTACATTTCTGTCAGATATAAATGTTTATTTAAAATGTGAATTCTTATTATTCACACCTACCATTTGTAAGGAGCTCATCTGTACATAAAAGTCGAGGTGCATCAACCTCAGGAGGAAGAGAAGTATTCACGAAATCAAGTTGATCTATTGTATGGGAGTATTTCTGATCAAAAAGTTCGGAACAGGCAGTTGGATCAGACGAAGTTTGATTTTCGCTGATATGTTGCATCAGAGTACTATTATTGCTACTATCTTTAGATATCTTTGGATTTTCAGTAGATAAATGAGAATTACACAGTTTCAGATAGCTGAAAGGAACCAAACCTTCATTCCCATCAATTAAACTTCTCACCTAAAATCAGAATCAATACAAAAAAATGTGAAATATAGCGTTGTGAATAAGTACTTTATTTGAAACAAACACCTGCAGAAGCCTTACTGAAGACAAATAATTGTGGTGCAGTAATACTTAAAAATTACGAAGTTATATTTCTTCCTAAAACTAGATGGTAAACATCCTCGCACTTTACATAGCCTTAAACAATATTTTCCGAATCGGTTTCTTCAGTTCAGGTTACAGGTTAATCAATTCGCCAAATGTAAAATTACTCAACGGGATTTAAAAAGTGTCATCCCACCCACGTTCGAAATACCATACAGTTTGCCTGTAGCCTTGAAAAAAGACAAATAGTTTGTTCTACCTACCAGTTTCTCTAAGAACGACAAGTATAACCATTATTTATTTATTCTGTATTTGAAAAGAAAATTTCATACAATATGTGTACAACTTACTCTTATCCACCCATTTACGTGTTCATCATCCAGAAGGACAACAGTTTCATGTACAACAAGATCTAATTCACCTGGTTTTTTGGCTCTGAATTCATGCACCACATCAGCTCGACGTAACCGACCATTTTCAGACCAAACAGCTTCAAAATCGACATCATCTTTATTATCTGTTAAATTATCTGAACTAGCTACATAAATGTGTGATCTTTGGTTATTCGCTAAATTATCGGTAGTGATTTGACTTTTATGACTTTGATTCCTATGAAAGGTGTTATTAATTGTTCGGTGTACAGCTATGTCATCATGAGCCCGTGGATTCATCTGTGTTACATTTTGATAATCATGTTGCATATAGTTTTCACTGTCAACATGAGATGAATTGATATGGTTTGAAAAGGCTGTCTTCCCATGTGTCTGTAACGATGATCTGTAAGAAGAGTGAATATCTTTTTCACTAGAATTGTTCACTTGGCCAAGGGTTGTTGGTCTGGGAACTGAAAAAATGGGTGGAACAATAAATAAAAAGAAGGATTAATAATTGATTCGTTTATGACTGCTACTATTAATTACTAGAATGATGTACAATATCCAGTTATTTTGCCCTAGAACTAGTGTACTTGATAGCTTGGGTCAATGGTTCTTAGACCACATAATATTCAGTTGAAAAGCTGTTTACTCGTGCATTACTTTTGGAAGTGCTGGAGAAACTTTCCGCACAGTCTGGGTCAATGTGGACAGATAAAAAGTGATATACAGATGAAGGCAGAAGCATGATTCAGATATTTCAAACACGACAAATACGATGCTTCAATTTAGCATCTAACTCAAGCAGCCACAGAAGCATAATATTACTGATCTTAGTTGTTGCAATTCCTAGCACTCTTCAGCAAAGTTTATTTGCAGATGTAACTATTCCTATGTTCTCACGAATAGCAAAGCAAGTTACTCGGCGCCTCAGTCGAAAACACCAAAGCTAATGTATTCACGTTACGACTGGCATGTATTCGGACTAGATTACTCGCACGATCGATACAATCGACACTTAGACCGGCTACCGACTAATGATTGATTTACGTATTAATATCAGTTCATGCAGCCAAGTACTTTTTTTCGAAAAAAAATCCTATCCGATTTAAAAATTGTTCATGCCATACACTTTGGTTAAGCTCTTAAAGAATATCAGTTTGATTATCTGAGAAAGCCGCAATTTGGCAGACTAGCATTCATATTGGGTGATGATTGAAGGGGAGACGAAAGTTTGAGCTTCAGCAGGAATAGACAAGTGGCCCCATTGTTACATAGTGTCAGTGTGTTTAAATGTCGTTAAAGAACATGTAATGAAATCTTTAGAGAAATGGACGAGGAACAAGAAAGAATGGTTTCAAACTTAATGTTTCCTGATCACCAACCGTACACACTTCTCGTAGTTCCACAAGTTTTTGGGCAAACTTGGATAACTGAGATATGAGGAAGTGAATTACAAAGGTGTTACATTTGACTGCCAATTAATATTTACAGATAGCAAACTATTGCATAACATTTCCTAATGCTATTTCGTAAACGTGCGTATTTATGATCAAAAAATTAGCTTTGGTTATGTGGAAGTAAAAATAAACATCAAATTTGAACTCGACTTCTTTCGGGCCTTTTTAACGAAGTTAGTAGTAAGTAACAGTATCAATAATTCCGATTTGAGAGACGTTTGCAAACACAACATCTAAAAATAATAAAATTGTTAGAAAGTAAAATGCAGTGTTCATCTTGCATTTCTTCATTTCACTATCCATGTGTTCATAATTTACTTCTGAAACAATGATAACAACGAGGATTTGGATTACTAAAGTAGATTTGTAGCTTCGTAGAGGATACATGATCACGTGCCTTTTAGTGATACTTCAATGACACTATTACCCGTATGAAATTTTATTCAAATGTAAACGCGTGAAAATGGTTTTTTCAGCTTCCATACCTCAACTAATTCCCATTTTATTCGATCTCATGGGAAAAAAACTATTCCAAACAAGAGTTGTTGATGTTGTACATCTCAGACCATGATCGCAAACTAAAATTATCATTCATATTTACAAAACCAATAAGTTTAAAGCTAAAAAACGAAAGATAAATTAGATACAGTCCTACGGTTACATGTCTTGAACAATTTTTTGAAAACTCAACTGAGATGTAAATCAGCGAAAAAACATCCAAGCTATTAGATTTGACTTGATTAGTCGTTTTTGTCTTAGTGATGTAGGAAAGCCATTTGTTTCTTGCCTATAATGTTGCTCTTCCCTAGATTGATACAATGAAATCTCTTTACAAAAATATCTCTTGTTATACGCTTTATAATCAAGTAAAAAACTTCTTAAAAAGTAAGTTGTTAGGTAAAAGATGGGGAGTTTATGAAACTAGGCACCTGACAGAAAAAGAAATATCGCCATTTATTACAAATAGCCCACAGAAAGTAAGGATAGCTGGATTAGACGGCCCAATTATCATCTATAGTTTCAACAATATAGTCGAAAAAAGACAAATGCCTAGCTCACTCCACCTCCATCTGTGCATTTAATTTCACCTATGCTTATGGATGCAAGTATACAGGAAGGACCGAAAGGGTGTCTAATCAATTATGTGAGCATTCTGAGAAATGTGTTTGAAAGGTAGAAAAGTTTTCGGCAGAGCAACCACTAGGCACCTGGTGAAAACAGAACATCGAAAAAACAGTGTCACGTTTATAACGGTTTGTGAAGGCTCTCGCCAATAAACATTTCCAAGCTCACTTTTGTACTCAAAAGGAGATTGTAAATAACCTATCTTAACCCTGGTAACCATACGTAATTTTTTCCATACATAAGTACATAGTTTTCTTTTTTGGTTGCATCATCTCTTCATTACTTACTTACTGGCTGTTAATCACTCACAGCATTACGTTTTTATAGTTTTTCATGTAAATGCGTAACGTACTAGCTCGTTAACAACTTCTTTTACACTGTCTGCTTGTTTCGCCTCCCCCACTTTCCACAACTCCAGAATTTTCTGTCTCATCAGATATTAATTGCCATTGATTTTGACTACGGTTTGTGATTATTTTTCCTGTATTTCCTTAACTCACTACCTTAATGTTAATCCTGAATTTTGAATCTTTATTTATTTCTACATATTTAAAGTGTCATTTCATTATTGCGGCTAATATTTCCTTTCGACTGCAGACTGACGACAGCTGATGAGAGATTGTGAAATAAAACGAGCTCATTTTATTCTGCAAATGTATTTTTTCTTGCTTTATTCTGTTCATTCGTAACTTTTCGTCCGTACAGTTTATTTAAATAAGGTAAACGAGATGATTATTTAGGGAGGGGGGTTGACTAGGGTGAATGGAAAAACAAATATCTTCACACCAATCTAAACAAATTGGGACCGTATCTTTATTCCCCTGGAACTCAGATACATTTTAATGACTGGATCAGAGTTTGTTTACTTATTGTCAGATGTCTATGATAATATTTGTGTTTGAATAGTGGAGTTCTTCAAGATGAATGTGCATTTGCAAAATAGTAGTATTTGATAAAACACTACAAAATTTCTTGTGAAGAGATTAAGCCGCAAATTCAGTTACTGTCAAGAAGTATGACTATGTACTTCTAGAGATGTCTCAAGCCTTTTCAGTAGCACTAAATCGTCTTCAGTCTTTAGAATCTTTCATCAACCGAGAAAAATCAAATGAGCTTACAAAGTACTTATTAACTTACAGAATTCAGATAAACAGTACCTAGTTCTGTCGCCAACAAAAGGAATAAATATTTTTATTCAAATAGTAAAGATTCCCGTGCAAGAAACAAGAAACACTGGAAGACAATACAGAAGACAAGCAAAGAAGTGATACAAACTGAAAGACAACCTATCTGGGGGAAAATGTGCATATTATGAATGAAAAGTGTTGAATACAAATTTGTAATAGAGCATCAGGACTTATTTTGATTTCCTCTCCTGATAAGCAGTTTCATATACCTCACCAGTGTGGTTATCTACACTAAGAACAGATTGGATCTAGTGTCCACTGGATGTAAATACAACTGTGAAAGTGTTTTTTTGTTTTCCAGAGCTTTGAGGTTTGTTCTCATCATCACGTCAGGAGATTTCATCAGCATTTACCTTTATTACGATAACACGTGAGCAGTGAAACGTTTTGTTGTTGTTTCAACTTTATTCTACAGCAATATGAATGTTTTCTATCGACAAAAGTGAGTTAGCAATTTCTATATTCCCTAAACTTCATTTATAACTTCCTTGCATCTATAATTTGGAGAATATCATTGTTATCATTTGGTTTTTTTTTTGAATCATATGGTAAAGAAAACGAAACTCCAAGAAATGTGCAGATAGAAACATTAAGCTTAGTTGTTCGTAATCTATTATCCTAGCAAGACTCAGTGTATTGGACCCACATAAGATAATCGCTACTAAGATAAGGGCAATTAGCATGACAAACAAATTGTTGAAGCAATTCATTTTCAAAACTGATTGGTTTACCCTTAAACACCTAAAGGTTACCATCTTCGACTATGATACTAATTAACACAGACTGCCGACGCCACTGAAAGAATACATATTTTTGAGGATTAGAAAAAAACCGTGTTGACTAATGGCTATAAACGTAAGCGGCATAATTTCGGGACATTCAGTGGATTCCCGTCAACACGATCTATTAACATACCTTGCATGACTATTAAATAATGAATCAGTTTATTAATATGGATGACATAAAATTTAAAAAAAATTCTATATACTTACAAGTAGATGACCAATCATTGATCCTACTTCGATGAAATCTACCAGTAGGCTAAAGAAAAAAAGAAATGATATTGGTTCATCATCTTAGGTTACTTTTAATAGTGGATAATATCAAAGAGAAAATTTTTCAAAGTGATTACTGAGTTTCATAAATTTTCTGTTAATAATATTTCTAAAGTAATTCCAATTGAATACCATTCTTGACCTGCGTAAAGACAGAATACTGCTAGACGTAGAATGTCACCTTCGTTCGGAAGCATAAGTTGTAATAGCTAATGCTGGCGACACTAACACTAAGGGAATGACTAATTCGCTTTAACTGAAAAACCAATAAAAATAAGATTACGAGTGAATGATTTATGTGATTACTTCATTCTTTGTGCACCATCAAAAGACGACATAAATATGGAAGTGGTTGAAAACTAGTAGCCACTCAGTTACCAATAATATACATTTGGCGAACCGTAAGGTAATAACCAATGGCAGAAATGTTTGGACTGTTCATCGGAAATAATAATTATTTATTTATGTCTCAAGAAAGCATTCTTTTTAAGAATTTAAGCGGCCATTCAATACATAGCTAAAAGTTATTTTTCTGAACAGTTTCATGAAGAAATCAATCCACTATGAAGTAAAATCAGAGATCGAGAAGCTTAACTAAAATCCTCGCACGGCAAAGTAACTTTTGTATAGGTTTGAAATGATGGAGATACAAATCGAAGAAGTCGAAATCTCATAGAAATTTGTATATACTCTCGTCACACTGTTATACTGCTAATAGTATCCAAGTGTTCAATTTAAATGTCTGAAGCTAATTTAAAAGCCTTAGGCACTGTCTGTATTCGGCTTATTGCTATGACAACCTAATGTGGCACTCTAGATTAAAAATATTGCAATACCTCGAGATTAATCAAAATTACGTCCAAAATACCTCGTTTCACAAAATGATCCCTAATGCCAGTCTTGCAACCTAAAACTTACGTAGTGAGATGCTGAATATTTCTTCTCAGTCTTAGGCACACTACCTGAGTTAAAATAACATCCAGATACTTCAGGGATTGGTGTAATCGCTTTGAATATGAGACTCTAAGGCAAACTCCACTGTACTACTCCATTTAACATAGAATCTCCAGATAGCATGTCTAGCACTATGTACTGACCAATTTATTGATAGTCTTAAAATCATCAACCAACTTACCTACTCTAACTCCTACTCTTAACTTAAACAAGGTAGTGAGAAGATGGAGATTATCTGAAACATGTGATGCATTAACGATATACACTTCGAATAATCTGATTACATGTTAACTTGTCGAATAATTTATATAAAACTTAGAAAGCTTAATTAAACCAATGGAATTATAATAAAGGAAGATAACAAGAAAAGAACGGAAATAAGAGGGAAAAACTAATAACAAAAGGTCAAACCACTACCAGTATGAACAGTATGAATTATAGGAGAATTCTATTGCAAAGCATACTAAGATGACTGAACTTCATGTGTACGCATCACCCGTACTGGCAGACACTTCTTTAAGTTGTCACGCGAAATTCATAAACTTTTGTAGCTCCGGCATCACCAAATCTAAAGCAAAAACCGGAATGACTGAGACAAATCTCAGACTAACTAAATAAATCCCTTTCCGGTCGATACTGACAAATTTGTGACTAATTTATTTTAGGTTCAGCTATATCTTCAGGAGGAGGTGCTTTTGCTTGGATTTAGTTTTCCTGTTCTTCCAGCACAAACTCCTAATCTAGTCACCGATCCCCAGTTTGGACACTTTTATGATCAGCTAAGCTCACTTGTTCCAACTTCTCCAGACAGTCAGAGTTGCCTCAAAGCTAAATTAGTGGATATTGCTGGTCAGTTTCATAGTCCGCGCCTAAGACACTGAAGTACCTAACCCCCTTAGCATTTTAAAGAGTTAAAAGGATTGTGAAATAATCCAAATATTATCATGCTCAAGCTCAACAAAGGATCAGGGGTTGATATTATGAATAAGTTGGAATATAAATCCAGAATGTTATCCACCCTCAACGATGAAAGCAAATTTATGACAGATGTTCCCACTCAGGAAATACGTAAATTAGAAGGAAGAGTAAATTCTATCCTACTGAAACTGCTCAACATGAATAATATTAACAAAGAAGATTTAAATTACCTGAAACCCATAAGATCTGAGTATCCACACCTTTACAGACTTCTCAAAAGACATAAAGCAAACAGTCCACTCCATTCAGCATTGTCTGTGTGTCAGTCACCCACACACTAACTAGCAAGGTGGTTGGCAAAACTTGAATTTTATCAGAAATCAGGTCTTCTAAATTTCCTTGAAAGATACATTTGAACTTGTTGACCATTAAATGATATCAATATAGGGGATAAGACTATGTTCTCTTTTAATGTGAATTCTTTACCTACTAAGGTACCATTGACTAGGACAACTGATATTCTTTGCGACTAAATTTCTTCCAAAAATCCTTCCCCTCATTTCCCTTACAACTCTTAAAGACTTATTATTACCACTATTGTTATTATGTACTGATAACTTCCAGTTCCAATTCGAAGGCGAATATTTTCGACAAATTGATGGTGTTGGTATGACTAGTCCTTTGGGTCTCCTGCTGGCTGATGTGTATATATCATACTTCGAAGCGTTAGCGGAGAAATTGATTGGAAAAGCCTGCTTTTATAAAAAATATGTGAATGATGTCTTTATTATTTGTGGAAACCGTGAGGAGGCAATGTGCTTATTAGATAAAATGAATAAGGTAAAAAGCCACATTAGTCTCACTTATGAAGAAGAATTGGATGACAAACTACCATTTCTAGACATACTGATTAGTTGAAGGGGAAAAGTCTCAATCAGAAGGTCTATCCACAGGAAGCTGACTTCGACAAGACAATACCTTAGTTCCCATAATTACTGTCCAGCTCAATACAAGCGTTCAACTAAATTCGGCACAGACAAGGACATCAAAACCAGGATAGCAAAAGCAAGACAGGCATTCATTAACCTGAAACCAGTGTGAAGATCTGCTGCAATCAGCATAAAGCATGAACAACATCCGGATTTTCAACACCAATTCAGTTAAGTCAGTGCTTCTACATGGTTCGTAGACTCGGCGCGTTACGAAAACCATTTCAAAGAAAAACTACAGACATTCATCAACAACTGCCTACGCCCATTACTGAAGCTCAGATGGCCAGAAAGAATAAGCAACAAGGAACTCACTCTGCCTGGCAACGAACCACCCAAGAACCTATCGCTCAACAAACCTGCAGAAGGAAGTGGAGGTGGATTGGGCATGCACTGAGAAGACCAACTGGGGACATCACGTGCCAGGCCAATTGCTCGAGTGGAACCTAGATGGGAAACGGTGAGTTGGGCGTCCGTGGCAAGGGTGACATGGAGGAGATCGTGTGAGGAAGAAATGAGAGCTTCTGGGCTATCGTTGAGCCAGGTTCAAAAGACCACAGAGAACAGAGTGGAATGGGGACGTGCTACTGAAGCCCTATGTTCTACTAGGAACCCAAGGGACAAATAATAATAATCAATACAAGTGTGGCATAGTCATATGTTTATTGAATAAAGTTGATCGTATTTGCGTAGATGACACAAAAGAAACAGAAACGAAATTCCTAACATACACATCAGTGCGAAATGGTAATCCATTGAATTTATCAACACATATCAAATTACCAAAACACTGACACCGATTAATCAGTATTTTGTCCCTAAGAAAAGTGTGTATACCACATCGTCGAAGAGAGTTGAATTAAACAGCCTAATCTAGAAGAAACTCCTCACACGAGTTGTTAGCGGGACATGCTACGCAGCCAAGGTCATATTAGTAGAGAAGATAAACTCCACGTGTTAACACAAACGTAAACACCATTTGAACGAGCGCATCACATCCCACTGTGTCTATCAATTTACATGTATGTGTGGACACACATATATAGAAAGAGCAACCGTGACATTCACTTAAGAATGGTTAACGTGTGTCTAAATGGCTCCAGAAACAAATGACCTCTAACAGTTTACTAAGTCCAAGTGAAAATCGTCCTTTCTTATCGATAGTAAAACACATATTAGAAACTAGTCGCAAGATTGATGTCAAGGTGTCCTTTACTGTACTGTTTAGATATGATCAAGAACGAATACTTAGATTTATTGAAGCACTTGCTATCCATAAGTTCAAACCCCTTCTATATATTCAGAAACCCTTTATGTTTACACTAAACGTATTCTGGTAGTATTAAGTCCTACTCTTCATATTATTGGTGGTGGCGATTCGATCTTTTGTTATTAGATTTCCCCTCTTATTTCCGTTCTTTTCTTGTTATCTTCCTTTATTATAATTCCATTGGTTTAATTAAGCTTTCTAAGTTTTATATAAATTATTCGACAAGTTAACATGTAATCAGATTATTCGAAGTGTATATCGTTAATGCATCACATGTTTCAGATAATCTCCATCTTCTTATTACGTTCAAATTTATCAAGGGGACCAATTGTTTCAAGCCTACTGTTAGCTTTGTTCACGCAGTGATTCTACAAAACTCAAGAGATGCTTTAAAATAATTAGTTACAAATATACATACGCTTAAATGCCTTTCGATTTTAACAAGTCCTTTTCTTGACCGCATTAAGCAGACTCGAATTATTAAAGACATCTTATGACCCGGCTAATATCACGAATAGCCAAATTTGATGAGTTTATCTCTACGGTGATGGAATAGTCGACCCATTTAGACGTTTCTAATCAAGGTAATGAGTCAGAAGGCTATGAATTGCAAATGTGAAGCGCCATTTTACATCAGCTAGATAAGAAACAGTATTTGAAACACTAAGCATTGTTCAAGGTATTTAAAAGATTAATTTCTCAATCTTTATCTGGTTTTGCTCAGAGTATTTCAGTGTTGTATTCCAAATGAGCCGACGGATCACTGAGTGAAAGGTAAAACTGACAACAGTTAATACAACAAAGCGCCACCTACGAAAATGCATTAAGAATGTGTGCAACTCAACCCAGCACAGGTGTTTTTACGTCCTAGGCTTTCAGTTATACTAGTTGTGTGAAGGCTTATAATAATACCCAGCTGCTCAGGTAGATTAAGGTGAAGCCAGGTTTGCATACAAAACCACTTGATTGAAGGGGAAATGTTTAGGCCAATAAGCCACATCTTCAGAATGAAGAGTTAGAGATTTCAATAAAGATTACCCGACATAACAGTCTTAAATAATGTCTGACTGCTCTCTAGAGCAATGCATCTATTCAATTAAAGTAACTTTAGCTGTGTCGTGTATCGATTCCACCTAGAAACAGTACACGTGGACTGATATATTCACTTGCTATCTTAAGATGAATGAATGTGAGTACCCAGGAGTGATGCAGGTTTATGATTTTTAGAACTTTAAAATGTGGAAGAAAAACAGGACAGTCTAGAGCGGCCACAACTTGAAATATCATATTACCTCCAGGACGATTAGCTTTGAGCAGACGCTGGTACTTTTTAAGCTTGCTGAGAAAAGTATTACACTACTCACTAGATTTATGATTAGGCCTTCCATCTGTATGAAAGCAAGAGGTGAAATAACCTAGCAATTCAATGTGAATATTGTACTGATACAAAAAGGTGAAAGTATTTTAAAAGCCAAGCAAGTGTAAACATTACTTGAAGTTTACCTCGTCATCGTCCTCATTATAACTTCGTTGTAATGAATATCCTGATTCAGGTCCTATAACTCCAGAACCATAAGACCCAAGAGGTTGATCCCAATCACTCAAAAGTCTTGAATCGTGATCAATAAATTGGTTTACACCAGAACCACTAGCTGCACTATCGCTGCTCCCTTCTCCAGAGGGTCGAAAATTTGATCGTCTAATTGGTGTCAAATTGTTCAACATAGCAGAAACCGGATTATCATTACGGAGTTGGGCAGCTGCAGCTGCTGCCGCCTCAGCAGCCATTCTAGCTTCGTTAATAAAACCCTTAACTTCAACTTGGAAAGCAAGCAAAAAACAATGTATTTACTGGTTTATTTTAGGAAACACCTCTTTACTACTAGTTAACTTCGTATATATTGTGAGGAATATTCATTTTCAGTTTCCTTCATTAATTTGAAGAAACATTTGGAGATGCGAAGCGGAAAATGAAAGGCAGTTTGGAATTTCCAAGCCTTGTTTTTCCTTACCTAAGACTTTCAAGAATTTCTATATGTACTTCAGTGACTGAATCACACTTTGTCGACTATGACAATAATAATAATAATATTGATGATGGATCGTAACTACCAGTGGAATCCAGCTGATGAGTCCCAAATAGGACGAAATGCGTATTTTGGATTCCACTGCTAGCCACGACCCATCACTAATATAATTAGAACACAGGCAATATCAAGGCACCCGCACAGGAGCCCATATGCCAATGGAGACTAATCAATTCGGTCCAATCAACGACAGCATGATATAAAAACAATTATACTAATGATAACAATTGCTTTCTTCCAAACAATCTGTGTGATACAGTATGTCATCATGTAATATTTCAACAAATCCACTCCTAATACAATATTTTTAAGCTAAATAAGCACCGCAACTCAACAATGCTAAAAATGACAGTATTAAAGGCAGTAATGTGAAACAAACATTTGATGTTACATTAGCGTCTCGTCTAGACTGATGAATGAAAAGAAAACTGAGCGTGATTTTGGTTGTGGTAGTTGATTCAACCAGTACAAAAATCTGTAATTCGACACAGGTATCCCGGGAATAGCAATATGCTGTATTTCTGTGCATTTATAAGTTCAAATCTTACAGATGTTTTTTTCTTTTTGTTGTTAGCTCGAAAAACAGCATTTTTAAACCACTTTAAAAATGTGCACGATTACATAATGCATTTAAGAAACATATTTAAAAGATTAAAACAAATTAAAACGGACGAATTTAATTAGATATATCCAGTGGAAAAGTTTTTTTAGCCCAAAGTTTAAGCAGGCTGTCGACGATGAGGAATGTCTTCAGTTAGTGTCAAAACTATTTCTTAGTTTATGACCGGACACCATTCAAAAATAAGCTTATACAACCTCTCTCAAACTAATAAGCACTTACAAAAAATTAGTAAAGAAGTTATGTTACTGAGATAAAGCATTAGCGTTTTCCAGATAGAGAATTAAAGCTTTTGACTAAGCGACTGGAATAACATGGAATACGAAGTAATATTATTTAAGTTCATCTTTCAAAACGTTACAACGAACATTGTAAATCTACACTAACAGTTGTGAAAAGGCATTTACAATTAAATTAATAACATGCTCCGTTGTCACAGTAGAATCACTAATATCAATAATAAACTATCCCGTCTTGAAAAAATTGCCACCGCATATCATTTATTTTTCATCATATGACTGCAAAGAGAGGCCTATAACGCCCATATTTATCTTCGAATTATTGTTCGTGTCCATTGAAACCACTCAGTGAACTACTAAGAGATCAACTTTGCAAGTCACTGATAAAAATCTTAAGTATTGAAAGCAGTTATGAAGCTTTTTCTCATGTTCAGTTACTATTAACCTTAGCTGGGAATCCTGAACAAAGCAGAAGCAAGTTGGAAGAAGCTCTGATTCCTTCAAATAGCGATACATTTCCATTTACTTTGACTTAAGACATTCATGCTAATTGCGTCGAGAATTACAGTTACTATAAATTATAGCCACAGGCAGGTATATAGAGTAACGTAGAACCTGACACAGAAGTTCATCACATCAAATTACCACACTTCTCAGCAGCAAGCAAAGGAAAAGTGAGTGAAAAGAATAAACTGAAAGTAGACAAAAGTATATGAAAAGATAGTAAATAAATTTATGAAGGTTGATAGATAGGTTGATATTCAAAACTTCGCAGAATGCTTAAATGCTAAACATATACACCACTGTGATCGATTTTGAGTCATATCGTCTCGAGAATCCTATCCAGATATCCTACATCAACTTACATGGTTCAGAACAAAAAAGTTAGAAACCGAATGGGCTGACACTACATCATAAAATGGCTACCCTTATCTTTTTTGCAAGGCAATCCAACTTCAGTTATCACCATGCCTCGAGGTGCGTATTAGTCTTGCATGGACAACATATGGCCCAGCCACCCCACCGATTAACTTTCTCTTATTTTCTGGTACTCTAACGTTTAACCTTCACATCGCTCACAGGGGGATCCCAACACACACGAGAAGTGCTACGAAGAGCACAGGTAAAACACCTGCAGTCTTTGCACATCACGTAGCTTCTAAGGCTTTGTTCCTTAGGTATGTAATATGACAGCAAAAATGCAGTGGAATATACCCTTCCTAATTTATGTAGTCGGATGTCTCACAAATGTCTCACCGGATACCTAGGGAGTCTTTCTTATCCGAGCTGATACTTCGTCAACATCTAACCCATTAGCGCTGATACAACGTCTCAAGTAAGTGAAGTGGTGAGTGCATTCAATCACTTTACTTCTTATCTTCGCCTGACAGCAGTGTGTCGTTTACATGACCTACTCAACCATCTGTGCTCCAGACAATACGCTTATCCCCAAGAAGTCAGAAAAACTTGGAGTTAATTCCGTAAGCATATCTATGATCAGTTTAAACTGGAATGACCACAGTGGCCATCGTTGGCGGGAACCACTGGTGCTCGTTACTTCAGACAACAACAACCCGTAAGCTCTTTTATGACTACTTCAATATGTGTAGAATGCCTTGTATAACCGGTGAAAAACGTATATCGCCCGACTCGGACACATCGATAGGTGAAAGGACCTCAAAACTGTGTCTAAACTTTTTTAATTTATGACCAAAACTTAAAAGCTTTTTCCTAAGCGTACAAAATGAAACCGGTATTCAGAGCAGCTGAAGCGCCAACTGGGGCTTTATTAAACTTAAGGTTTGATTACAGTTATTGTCCGAATCAAATCAACTTTAAAAAGGATATCCACCTCTTCAATTTCAAGCATTCACCTAATACTTTTCTAAACACTGAAATCATTTTAAGTCATCTGATCAAACTTACACCTTAACGCCTGATATTCACTTCTGCCGATATTAAATGTAAGGGTGAAAATCTATATCACGACACACCCTAGTGAGCTGCATTTATAAATGTGATACATGTGCATTAAAACAATTGCACAAGTTATAGCTGATTCACGCCCACATACATAAAAACATTTATTATACTTATATAGGCTTTTAGCTGCATTATTTTACAGAATCTTTACAATTGAGCTTTAATAAAATATTACCAATACTACTTCAAAAAACCAGTATGACCCATTTGAATGTTTGAAAAATGTCTGACAGAAAAAAAGAAGAAAGAATGATGGTGCCAGCTAGGTCTGTAAAACATGGTTATTAATGTACACATAATTTATTAAATGCAGGCCGAATAGAACACAAATAATCCGAAATGAGGTTGTCTAAGGTTAGTTTAATCAAGAGATATTTTTGTGGATATCAGTAAATAAACCTTATGATAGATGAATGCCATTTGAAATGATGCTAAGTTTTACGGTCAAGCTACGGAACTTGTCTAATTTTGACTGAGACGACAGAAATGTATATTTTTATCACACATCAGTCAATTAAAACGTTTTACGATCACTGAAAAACTAAATCGTGGTAATTAGTCAGGCGGAACACTTTATATGTTAGCTCATTAGTCCGGTAGCGGTTCAGTTTTCACTCAAATTTGTCTCTCATGCCTTACAAAGAAAACATTTTCAACTTACTAGATGAATTACGCAGCAATGTCAGACATGCTTCAATTTTCACATGTTCAATCTATAACAGAAAAAATTTGGGGGAAAACGGAAACAATCAGTCAAATTCCATAAAAAGAAAGAGGCTGACACATAGGCATTTTAAAAACAATTTTTAGCTAAGTACAATGAATCAAAAATATGGTAACCAAATCTTATTCTATAGGATGTAAAGTAAACACATTGAAAAGGTTATAAAACCTTATCTCAAGAAAAATTCAGTTGCGAAGGCAACATTTTATCAATAGATTAGACATTCTATAACAATGTCCGGTGATGACTGGTGTTGCAAAGAAAGCCTAAGTCATCGTAGAGTGCAAACCACTTAAACGAAAAACTCAGTGAGTTAAATCGAATTTAAAACTAGCTGAAATTTTTTTCTGCAATACAGTGAATAACTCGACAGACAGTAAATTAGAAGGGTAATCAAGAATCGATAAGAGCTTGTTTTCACACATAAAATAGTTCTTTATAACTGTTCATCAATCAGTATTCCAGCTGTTTTAGTAACTTCGGAAATTTACTTGGCTTGCCATTGTCAGTTTACTTAAGTAACAAAAAAGATATCACATAGAAATCTATCAAAATTCCGCTCAAAATTAGTGTGACAATATATTATTATCGACTATAGCATGTTAAAATTAATCTCAATTATTTTGTTTTAGACAGACGGTTATTACTGAATTAAGGAACGTGCCTTTAGCTATGTTATAGTGCATCAAAACCTAATCGATGAATAAAACAATGAATTAGTTTCATTTAGTAATTTGATTATGTTTGTTTGATATTTCGAATCCCTACTAAGTAACTTAGCTTAGTGTGATTTAGTTGATGTTGTGAGAGATAAAATTTTTGTTTCAGTAGAAGTATGAACATCCCAAAATACTACTACTACAGATAACGATTCGATTATCAGGAATGCTCATCTGTTCCACTCAAACGAAAGAGAGTTATTTAAAAACACATTTCAATCTTGGACTGAAGACTTTAGACTGGATTACAGGAGTTTATATCTTCTTACTAGCTGTGGGTCGATTGCCTACAAGCTATCATATAAAACATAGGGTTTAGCGGTGTCGACTGAAATTGTGATATCTAATTCGTGCCACCCAACTTTCTACAACGAATATTGATGTCAAGAAATTTGTAGATATGTTGTCCAGAAAGACAAAGATAGTTCCACACTTAAACCGTCTAGCTTAGAAAACACTACACTAGTAAAACAATGAGCACTACTCATATCTGGTACATAGGCTTAAAAGCCACAAACAGGATGCAGGTTACCAGTTAGTTCTCATAAACAATGAAATAAATCAGTCTTATCCTAATAGAAGCACTATATCTATATGTGATGAGTCAGATAAGGAAATGCACTAAACTCAGAAGGTATATTTTTTTCTAGCTGAAATGGACTTATCTTTCATGGATTGTATCCATGGTTGGTATCAATTGATTATAATCAACAGATATAGACTTTTTTTTGAACACTTGAGTATTACTAAGCATTCACACCCACCCACACCTGACAAAAGTTAAACAGTAATTTGAGTAACTAAAAGTGTCTAACATTTTCTATGTTCAAAATAATTATGTCTTTCTGTGCATCATGTTATTAAGCTTTTAAAAAGCACTGATTTATCACTAACATAAGTGCATGAACGTAGTCCATAGTACAAGGGTGTATTTACTTTTTCTACATCAAAAGAGCTTTTTCATACTTGTCACCCAGTAGATTAATTGAATGCCAATGCTTTAAATTGGTAGCAATTTAATTTTTTACTAGTCAAGAGGTTCAAGTAGATCAGATAAAAGGAATAATCAGTCTCCACTACTGTGAAGGTTGATAAGTGATGCAAATTATGCGGGTGAATTCTAGCCAATAATTTGGTTTTAAGGAACAGCATATTTCAAAAACTAAAATGAATAATGATTCCTACCTCTTTCGTTAGTTCTTATGATAAATAAGTAGTATTTTACTTTTTGGTGTCCCTACTTGCAGTTCCTCAACAGAAAAGTAATCCTATTGCTTGGGTACTTAAATAAACCTTTTAGATACAACAACTCAACTTTTAAATTGATAACGTTATATAGCCACTGAATGAATTTGATAAGCTAATTATCACACCACGTCAATTTATGTAGCGGAAAATCTCTCCGATCATTCGAATGAGGATAAACAGATGCTAGACAATGAAAACTAACACCCATTGCAATGTCTATAAGTGAATTAACAATAAAATAATTGGTCAGATTGCGCTTCCAAACAAATTTCTTTCAAAACAGAAACCCAAAAATTAGTACTTGTTTGATATTTCCCCGTGGTGTAAAATCTGGATGTTTATTTGAACTGGATAAGTTGGTGGAGTATGTGGAAATGAGTACTGAGTTTCAAATGTATGTAGGGCTGAGGTAAAAAAAAGAATCTGTAGAAGGTTTTTCGAGGGAATACCACTGAAAGGTTCTTATCGAAAAATAAGTAGGATCGTAATATTCTCAGTGATGTAAGAAATACCTAACAATACAGCACCTTAACATGCAAGTCTATGCAGAATAGAAAGTATGAAAATCATTTCATTTTATTTATTCATAGCACTAGGAACAGTAACAAGCAACAAGTTAGACGTTCATTGACATTGGTGGGGAACTAATTACTGAAGGTGTTTTTAAAAGTTATTAAGTAACTGAACATTTAGACTGAAAAAAGGTAATGATTAATAGTTCATACCTGTTCTCGACGTATAGCGAATTGTAATTCTTCAACTTTATGCTCAACGTATTCTTGATTGAATGCTAATAATTCTTCATTATTTTCAATTTCCTAGAAAAACCAATTCATACTTGAATTTTTTTAACAAGAATGGATGCACTAATTGAAGAGAAATTTTTCCATGCATTTGGGTGTTAAATGGTAATATTTTATTAATCGTAGCAGGATTTTTATTAGGTGACGTAATGAAATCTAACCTTCAGCCAATACATGGTTTATTCACTTATCACGGTAATCTAAATAATAATAATAATAATAATAATAATAATAACAGTAGTAATAGTCCCTTCATTCTAAACAACATGTATGAAACAGTATGGAGTTTTCGGCATCGAATATTCCAACAAATTCGCTTTCCGTACCATGTTGTTAAAAGAAATAATTATTAAGTCTTCATAGTGTCAATAATAACAGTACTGAAGGCATAAGTGTGAAACGGGCAGCTAGTGTTACATTAGCATCTGTCCTCAATCTGGAAATTAAAACAACATCGGGTGTAATTTTGATGGTGGCAGTTCAATCAGCCAGCACAGAAATTCACAATCCCAAAAACGGTACCCTAAGAATAGTAATTTGGTGTGTTTTTGAGCATTTACGAATCCATTTCCAACCGGTGAAACGTTTTCCCTTTGTCTTGTTGTTACCCTGAGAAATGAAAGTTCGAAAACCTTTCAAACCTTTCAAACATGAGAGAGTACATGTTGCGTTCACAAGATATTTAAAAGATTAAAACAAATTGAAAGGGAAGAATTCGGAGGAATATAACCGTTGGAAAGTTTTTTGGTAGCCCAAGATTTAAGCAGGCCGCCTTATGTGATAAAGCCAGGCGCTTAACACATTAACTATTCAAATAAGTCTTCAGTCGCTATCCAAATCGAAAATGGTTTTTTACAGAACAGTAATTAAAATAACTTTGCAGTTTAACCAGCATTTTATTTTCCCAAATCGGCATGTAACTGGTAACCTAACGCCATTGCAACGAACAATTTTATCCGAAAAGAGAGAGGACAATTGACATAGAAAAAATTTTCTTTTCAAGGAAATTATTCTCTTGGCTGTAAATTTGTGAACAAATAGTAGAAACGAAAGAGCATCCCTGAATAATTTCTGCTCCAAGATTAAAACTAATTTGCATGGCAAAGGAAATTTATGTAACATCTATGGGAATTTAAAATGGGGGAAATAAACAAATGGTTACAAAGTGAGACATGGTTACGTCGCAATGAAATTGTTTAGTAATATAGATCTTTTACAACTGCCGTGGCAAAGAATGAGGTTGTATATACTTCCTTTGAATGCAAGTAATGGTTTAGACTTTCGAATTGTTAATACTTCAGTTACCCTTAGATCTTTTTGACCTTACTTCTTTCCAGTTGCTTGGTCGTGTCTTGTACGAACTTTTGAATAACTTGTCAATAAATGCCAAATGTCCTGAGTTTACTGAGTGTTCTGTTACAAAACCAAAGATCCACTCCCTTTCTCCCCTTGTCAGCCACTTTGATTAATGTTTACAAGCCTGCCTCGCAAGCTAGAGGACGGTGTGACCGATACACACTGCTCCACATGAACAAGTAAACGTTTATTTCGGAAAAATAATCGCCAAAAAACAAGTCTGAAAACTAGAACTATCATGGTCAACCCAACTAAAAATACCATATGAATAAGCCATTTCGGTGTGGTACAGAAAGGCATAAAACTAAGTTTTGGTGTACATTTCGTTGATATTCAGTTTTGTGATATATCTTAAAGGTCAAACTTACGCTCACCCTTAGAGCCAAACTCTAACAGCTTCACAGTCAAAGATAATAAGTTTTCCAGGCATCAACTACATCTCTGAAGAAATGAACCAAGATTTATAGTTAAAAACCATAAAGAAGACACTTAGATCACATCAAATTCTCAAGACTAACTGAATCCTACAGTGTACCAGTCTTTTCAAGGTTTCAAACACATCCTAGGTAACAATTTAAAAAGTACTTCTAGGGTTTCTCATGGACTGTTTTCAGTAATTTAGCAAGAGGATATCAATTTTGTGAATTGCTCATGTGTTATAGAAGTCATAAGTAGTCACCATCATCAATATCTATCAAGCGATTCTTCAACATATGTTGCATGACAATAAAAACTGTTTTTAATGAATCACTACTTTTCTCAATTGAACAGTTTGTTGAATGTATGACTGATTCATTTGATTAGTTAAAAGAGAGTAATTTTATGACATTCGAAAACGTCATATTTCTACAGGAAATGCATTTTGAATGAACAAGCCATGATTCCTTCATTTCACAATAATTCAAATCACCTTTTTGCTTATACATTTCAACAGACCTTTTTGTTCTGTTGTGTAGTTCATTTGAAGTCAAGCTGTGTCTTTAGTTTTACAGGATGACCATAACATGCTCTTGTACAATTGGATAATAATGAGTTCCAGTCTGCACAAATAACAAGAGTGCTGGTTTATTATTTTAATGTCAGCTCCTCTGATATTTTGGTGGTTAGTACAAGATCACAGCACCCTTCTCTACAATAGTAATGAACTCTTTATTTAATCTCAATGCACGTCAGAATACGAAGGTAGAATAGCGAGTAATTTTTAAAACCACATGCTTTTTTCAGATCGTTCAATGTCTTCATATGCCAAAATATCCCACCAAAGCTTGTTGAACTTGACAACCTATTTATTTAATTAACTTGTCATTACTACGAGTCAGTGCTGTTATATGGTTCAGAAACTAGGCGTGTCACGAAAAGCATTTTCAACAAACTACAGACATTCATCAACAGCTTCCTACGCTGCCTCGATACTGAAGATCAGATCAGATGGCCAGAAAGAATAAGCAACAAGGAACTCACTCTGGCAACAAACCAACCAAGAAAATATCACCCAACAAATATGCAGAAGAAAGTGGAGATGGATTGGGCATACACTGAGAAGGCAGATTGGAGACATCACGCGTCAGGCCAGGCCCTCGAGTAGAATCCAAAGGGGAAACGACGAGTTGGACGTTTAAGGGTGAAGAATAAATGAAAGCTTGTGGACAGTGGTGGCGACACTTGAAAAGACTGCAGAGAATAGAGTGGAATGGAGATGTGCTAGGGAAGCTTTATGTTCCACTAGGAATCCAAGGGAAAAATAATATAATAAATAATAATGAGACAAAAATAACCGACCCCATGGAATATGACTTTGGTGCTTCTGTGAAGTTGAGAAATTGAAGTCATTTGTCACTTCATCATTCATACATAGTAGGTTCAGCATTCCACTTCACCCATGTTGTTTAAGCATTGCTTTGGATGCTTGACTGGAACAAACAAAAATAAACTGAAGCGATCGGAGTGGAAATCAACATTTTCAGTCATCAGCCACTAAGGTAGAAGTTGTAGATTTCAATTTTTGTTTCATGTCACTGTACGGTCAGGATTCCCGCTTCTCCACAGACCGGAAAAAATTCCCATGGAGTCAAAACAACGACAAGAACGAGTTCTTACTGTTCCTATGAAGACTTTCTTCATGAGTATAGAATCCAGAGGGGTTAATACAGCAGAAATAGAATTATCTCTCCACAGCACTCAGAAAGACATTTTATGCCGCCGAACTGCGAATTGTCTTCTCCACACGACAGTTGATTCAAGGTAGTGGGAAGGACAAGCTGCCGCTTTGGGTGACATTTATATGTGTCTAGCAGTTTACCTGCTCTTGTAGAGCTGGTTATGTAGGCCGCACAAAGCACAGTCCTTCCAAACGCATCTCCGGGTAATATCTTGAGTGGCCGTCAAGAGGAGAACGCAAGTCAAGCAACAGCTCTATCTCGGATCACTTGGTTAACTTTGGCAGTGTTGCTTCCCCAAAATCTTTCGAATTCCTATACAAACTCAAGCTAAACGGCTAGAAAGGAGTACGGATTCGTCATCTATGAACAGTATAGGCGTTGGCAGTCTAATAATTAAAGCCTGAGTTATGCGTACAGAAGATGCATATCCATTCTCTTATTTTGCTGCGGTCATAATCCTATCGAGATTTTCTTTACTGCTTCAATATTCACCTTTCCCTTACTGACTGATTTTCATTGCTTTTCATTTTTACGTAGAATGTTGTACAGTTGTACAGTAAACTTCCAGTTTTCTGTACAACATCGTAACATGTTAGCTCCAATTTTCCACTAAAATTCTCACAATACTTAACTCAGGTTTTTGAGTATAATTAGTAATATCATTTTTGACCTGTTTGTTTTCTAACCTATTAGTCATCTCGTCGTCTACTGGGTATTTCCCGTATACCCACTTGATTACGCAATCTATTTCTTACCCTGGAATCCACCCAGGACATTTCGTCTCGGTGACCTGATGTTGACCTACTAGCCAAAAACAAATTAATCTGTTTGTTTGTCATTACTATAGATATGATTGTACAGCTGCCGAAAATGATTCGCCGAGAACGAAATTTTCTTCGCTGATTTTGTTTGCTTTTAAGACAATATAGAAATCAAAATGGTTAGTTGTGATCAGGTTAATATTTTTATCTGAGGTACTCATTTCTAATCCTTTTCCAAACTGACAACTGTTTATTCACCTTTCAAAGTATTATTTAGTTCCTGAATGAAAGGAATCATGCCTAAAATTCGAATTATGCTATGTTGACTTCCAATACAATTGATAAGTAAATCCACATTGTTAAGCTTATTCGGAAACATAGTTCAGACGAGCGAATTCTGAGAAGTAAACTATAAACTTTTCTTTACTATAAGTTAATTCAAATTCATCAAATTTGTATGATGTAAAAAGCGTCAACTAACCGAATTATTCTGTTGTTGTTGTGGCTGCTGTAGTTGTTGATGAGGTGTGACCAAACCAGACAGAGATGTCACATAACCAGCTTGTAGCATTTTTAATTCATTTTCATAAGATTTAATTCGCCTTTCATGAACAACTAATCGTCTTGACAGTTTACGTGCAATCTGCTCCAAATTACTTTCCTTTATATTAGCGGAACATAAAGCTGTTGTCTAAATTGATAGAAAAACAAACACATGGAAAGGAACTAAGTCTTAATAAAATGTTTTAAAATATTGTGTGTGTAACACTGGCCTAGTAACAGTTTCGTAGGCTAAGGGTATTAACTAACTAATGTACATATATGTGAAAGGTGCTGAAATAACTGTTTAATAGTTACTTTCATTTCCTGGTAAAGAATTAAACCTATAAAGTGGCGGTCAGTTGTTCAAATACGACGACGCCTTTAGGCTACCCTTCAATTTCACTCACAATCCTTATATATATATATATATATATATATATATATATACGTCTACTGAGACATTTCAAGGGGAAAATTGCCTACATTCAAGAAGAATTTTAGTGCCAAATTGCCTTTCTAAGAAACGTGCCAAGTTTCGATGACATTATTAACATAATATTCAGCGTTAAAATGAAGCAGCAGCGATGATAACCTCGACTAAGACGTAATAAAGATTAAGGTGAATAACTTTAATCAGCATTATCGCCACAACTAGGCGTCTATCTGGCAACACTTATAATGATCACAAAACTGAAGTCATCGAAATAAATTGATGATAATGACTCTCAGGAATGACGTCCTTATATTAACTGAAAAACAAGCTGAGATTAGTATATGGTGCTAAGTGTAAGCAGTCAGTAATGACAAACTGACTAATATAACCAGAGAACTTTGGTGGTCACTGTGCTTAAAATACAAATAACTGCCTGTTCATTCAGTACATGAATATGAATTCCAGATTCTCAATTATTTTGGCATACATGCAACTCAAATGTGTCATGTTTCACTCTGTTTGTTTACTTTTTCACTTCATGCGCATCAGAGACATTCAACTAAACAGTATACAAATAAATTCGTTCTACTCACCGTGACCACATAATGAACCAAAATAACAGCAGTCTTCAAAGATATTATTAGTATTTTTGTAATAATTGAAATATAGTTACAACTGTATGTCAAACTAAAACAAAACTACAGAAAACTAATTCTCATAGATGATTGCCAGAATAGCTTCAAAATACAATCATTTGTCAACAATTCAGCTATTTTAATTAGTTGATTAGTAGAAAAAATTGAGAAATAATAATTTCAACTTCGACTTACTTCATCTCCTTTTATCGGTTCAAAGTGGTATTGGATAGGTTTATCAAAAAGTGGTGATGACTTCAAAAAATCTTCCCAGGCATTGGTTCGATTAATCTTAACGTAAACAGATATAAATTGCTTCAGAAGTGATTATGTTGATAATGAAAATAAAAATAGCTGATTACAGATGAGAAACATATCAAAACCTTTTGGAAGTTATATTAGGTGAATGCAAAGCACGAATAGATAATCACTACTAAAATAAATCGTACTAACCAGACAACTATAAAATTCATTTTGACAGCGAAAATCGATAAAAAGTGAATTTTTTCTTACGAAAGAGTTTAAATTGCTATTTAATTTTCCACTGAGAAAATAAAGCTAAATATCAGAGTCATGCGCAAGTAAGTTATCATATTTTTGGACCATTAACGAGTTTGCATTTCCGACTAATTAGCACCGATTACCATTGCTGGTTAGCAAGAAGATGATCTAAGCACCGAACAGCTGTTTCTCTCATTTAAGACCAAACTCATAAGCGGTGTTCCCCGAAACGATTCAGCCCAGAGAGCCAAGTAGTTCAAGCCATCCGATTTGCAAACGGATGGTGTGAGTAGTCTATAAATACTTGTGACAACCAGTAGTATATTCGGTACAGCTTTCATGCTCACAGTCTTGACGCTAGAAGGCAGAACACGTTATGTGGTTTGAATATTTCAGACTTTCACAGAAAACTATGGTGAGGTTTCTCACCACGGACTATGTATTTCTCAAGCACCTGATTTGAGTAAACGGATTACTCTTCAGTGACCCATCAATGGGATGAAGTATCAAAAAATATCTATATTTGCTTTGGAGATAGGTATAGAAATTACATTTATGAACTTAGTCTACATATTTTCAAGTTATTTTCCTGACGGTACTCTGAAGTGCCATTATATAGTAAACAGATACATGGTTTTGAGTAGATAGATTTCGTGTTAATTCGTTATTAAACGCAATACCAACTATGAACTTCATTTACTCTGAAGTAAAACCACACTTTGTTCTAAAGTGTTGTTCATCCTTTTATTCAACCCATTCAGGTTAATCACTTCTAGTTGTCCAATGATAAACAATGTGATACTATATCGATTTACATAAAATAATGATTAAACTAAGTTTTTCCGTTAGAAGAACTTTACTACTGCGAAGGTGAAGCAAACTGTTGACTAACATCCGGTGGTTGATTAGTTACTCAACATTACTATTCTGTAGATATCACTAGCTAAAATGTAAGTAGACTTCAACCTTGATAATGGACGAGACTTTTAAAATATGCTCACGACCGGATTAAATGGAAAAACGATTATCGTAGCAATTTTCTTAGATAAATTTACCAATCCTTTTTCTTATCAGACCTTGTAGTCCCACTCTAAAATGCAGTTAATTCCTGATTCCACCGTAGTTATCTAAATTTTTTATTGATTGACCTAGTGAAAATTATTAACCCAGTCTTCATAAATTGTAAAAGGACTTTATTCATAGTCAGTGTTTAAAACTGTAGGAATGGATGGTCGATGGTGATCACTTAAAAAGATCTGAACTTAGGTTTTGTATTTGTATGCGATAACTAGTAAAACAGTGTTGCTTTTTCGAACAGAAATTACGCTGATCAAAATGAATTCAGCACCAAAAACACGCTATCCCAAGGTTAGTGTGATCACTGACGATTTTGTGTGAAGGACTACACAAAATAGTAACCGATATATACAGATTCGGCTTTCAGTAATGTCGACCACATAAAAGAGTCTACTATCACTAAGTCTGAAGTGACAGCACTGTACAGTATAAGTTTGAGTCGCGAATATATTAGTTTGATCAACATCTCAGAATTAACCTACCGTTAAATCTTATTATTCGAGAATCGTAACCGCATAAATTCCCACTAACTATATCAAATAATACAGGATACAATATCTAGACACCTAAAAAGATGGCTAAACCAAAGGTTTTTTTAGTTAACAGAATTCGTACAGCACTACAGTCTTTTTAACACCATAGCGAAATCGAAAATACAAGACACAATTGATTAAAAACGTAATACCTACATGTGATGCTTCGTTGAAAAGAATATCAAACCGCTTTTGTGTAATTGTACAAAACTCAATCTCATTTTCACAAAGAGTTGTAAAAGCTTCACTTAACTTTTCATATAATTCACCATCTAGAGTCTAAATGAAAATTAAGAAATATATTACAAGCGAAATTTGATACTATGAAATAACGATATCAGCTTTTAATTAATCACCAAAACACCTAAAAATAAACCTAATTAATATCATTTAATAATTTAAAAATCCCCATCAAGTCATAGAACAAAAGACGTTTAGCGAAGATTTACTCTTTTCAGCGATATTCTCATGCTGTACAATCGCATATATATATATATATATATATATATATATATATAATTCACATTGTAACAGAAAAATGTTTCATGAAGTATTTTTGGACGCAGTTCACCTATGATTAAAATCAGGTTACAAGAGAAATTGAGTAATGTTTGAAATAGTAATGAGAAGAAGACTTACCAAGATTGGACTAATATTTGGTTACCAAGTTAAATGATGTAACATGGTGAATGCAAAGACAAATCAGAATTATTGGAGTGTAGGAATATAATGTGAGAGAGGATCTGAATGAAGAGGTTTTTGAACGTGGAAATATTCTTATAGGTATGTCCATTGCAACTCGAGTGACTGGACAAATTTATTTTGAATGCAGAGTTTGGGCTTCAAAATATTAATTGGCATGGCTTCCGCAGTTTGGGGGAGTTTTCGGGGCACATTTCTCGTAAGGTTTATGTGAACCCTATAGATGACCCTAAAGCTGTTTCCTGCACTTACTGGGTGGTCATAATCGGTCAGATGTTCTAGAATAGAGCTGTGAACTGTTCTCCTTTCCTCATTGTAGAACCAGGCTGGCATGTGCTCAGAAATGCGCTTGGAAAGAGAACGGTCGATATACCTTACCCTACAGGAGCAGGTGAATTGATAAACATACATCGAGGTGGCCAAGGGAGGTAGCTTATCCGTTGCACATAATCGAAGCATTGGGTAAGTGGAGAAAGTTAGTCTGATTTTGGCAGCATTTAATAGAATGAAACACTTAAAAAAACTAATCTTAAGCTGCCTGACACAGGTACTAACTTAAATACACTAATGTCATTAAGATGGCTAACATTTAAAAAAGCTGTAATACAAGTTAAACATATTTCTGCGGGCTAAATTACCCCTTGAAATGCACAATACATATATACCCAAAATAAAGTAGGATTTCTGTTTGATATGAAAACAAAGGCACACAGACTGGGAGGTATACGCCTCAAATGCACTATACTTAATATGGTGTCTTTTTAAACAGTTTTTGCCCATTCAACAAAGTTATATATAGCACACCAGCCTAAAGGAATAATTGATTTCAATACCACAAGAATGCTGATAAAAAGTTACCTAGTTTTGTGATGACGCGTTCAAGATCAAAACTCAAAGCTCAGAGATATTTTCCATCAAAATGTGCAAGACATTGTATTTCATTTGCATCTTAACCTATGGGGCTGTTGTTTTCCGGTGTGTTCTAATACAGCGAGAACATCTTCAGATAAGAAACTTTTCCTTGGAAAGTCATCGGCTGAAACAGTTGCATGCAGAAGAATTAGAGTACTATAGTTAATTAAAGCTAAACAGTAATGATCCCTGACAAAGCTAACAGATCGAACCACCACAGACAGAGGCATTTTAGCTTTCACACAATTACGGTTGTTTAACTACTTTGGTCAGTGTTCAAGATGGACACAGTTGAATATCGTGTGAAAGTGCATGAGTGCAACTAGTGTTAAAGGCTGGTAAATATGGATATGCTCTTAGATAGAAAAGATAAAATTTAGCGATGAATCCTTAAGCAAGATTTGAAAAAATCTATTTTTCCTAGATTTGCAGTCCCTAAACTCTGAACATACTTTGAACGACTATTGACTTTATTTATCTAGAAACCATATTAGTCTCGCTCGCGGTCATGTTCTAATGGTGTACGTGAGTAACATCTGAACTACTACTGGCAGTTGTGACTTTACTGCAAGATTTTAGGTTTCAGCAATACTTGTCATACATTTGTAAACAGTTAAATTGAGAATAAAAATAAACCTAGTTCGTAATACTGTTTATTTGTCCGGTTAACATTAGATCTAATAGTGTATGATAAAAATAGGACATGAGCAGCAAGGACACAGAGACAAACGGACTTTTGTACAAAACTTGAGTGAAGTTTATCTTATCTTAAATATCAACTTTAACCTATTGTGGATCGTTATAGTCAGTCATCATTCTATCATTGATAGGGTGAAAAATATTGTTCCGATAGGTACAGTTTCTAACACCTGAACTAGACCAAATATCGTAAATATCAGTATCATCCAATGAAACTTGAATAGACAGTCATATTAACAAGATATTTACCTTTGCTAATACTGGCATGTCTTCACTGAAGTAGTGTTTCAGGTGCGCATTGATTGCAGTCAGTTGAAATAAATACTCATTTTTGGCAGTAGCCGATCGTGCATCAAAAGCTTGGCATTTACCTACAAGCTGAAAGAAAAATAAAAGTTAATGAGCTAAATTAAAAATGAACTGAAACATATAGACGGTGAATTGCATCGTTTATCATATTAGGGGCATAGTAATGAAAGATTTTGTGATTACATAAGAAATGGTATTAAATGCATACAACAAGTTCTCATAGGAGATAAAAGAAAAGAAAACTTTTCAAAAGCATTGTAATATGAAATAGATCTAAGCAGCAAGAAACAGATATTTCTTTAAATGTGCTACATCAACTAACTTTACATTAAAGATAAGTGAATGCAGCCTTCTATGTTCTACTTCTCTTTACTTCCCATATACCTACAAAGGTAGCTTTATGTCTTATTTCACTACAGGTAAACATAATGTAAGTGTAACTCTGTTTTTTCAGGTATAAATCTCTAAAACAACAACTTTTTTAATTGAAAAAAGTGAAGTTAACAACCGGTTTTAAAAAAACTAAGAGTACTCATCGGTCTTTTAGCTTCTGTTTAATATTTCAACACAGGTAATAAATAAGAATAAGAAAATTCACATAAACACTGGCTGTATTCCACTTAATATTCCAATGAAATGATGTAAATATAGACATTTTGAGCAGTTGACTACATTCTGTTCAGCATATTCTCTTGCACAAATTAAATTCTCTTATTAATACTGGGTTTATGACGCTGTTGTAGATATTTTTTAAACTGATGCATATTTTTAAGAAAATTATTCAAGCTGGAAAATTCATGAGGAAGATTTAGTGAAACATGTTTTCTGCACATGAAATTCCATCGACTGAATGATAAATTTTAATTTATGACATGAAAAGTGCGTACATATTTGTGTTTAAAAGGCTTTAACTGACATATTTAAAAAGAATGAACTCATAATGCTGTTAACATAGTACTTTCAAATCTCATCTCGACTACTTCAAAAACGTATTGTGCCACAACTATGAATTGCTGTTTCCTAAAAGGGATTCTTCAACAGTTTTCAATTCTAATCAGCTACTTGGTAAGCAGTTTATTATTACAGTTAAACTGAATGACTTAATGATACAATGGGTAGTGCTTCAATTTGGAACAATTAAATTGGCAACTGAATGAATGTAATCACTTAATTTAAGACCATATGATAAAAGCATGCTTTATTGAAACCAATTAATCGTTATTAGAATGATAATATTAGCAAAGAAAATAAAGTGAGCATAACCGTCTTAGAGTGACATTACGAATAAATGATCTAAAAGTTAAACAGTTAATAAGTAAATTAAAGGTTCAGACTCACAGTACGCAAACTTTGATATTGACTACCTCGGCATTATGCATGATCAAAGCTATACATAACAAGTGTGAAATATAGCCCTGCAAACAAACTACTTTGTATTAGCTCACTTCAGATTTTCTAACAAATGCGTCTTATGATTTGTACTAAATAAACTTTTCAAGGTGAACAGTCCACTTTTCAAGACCATATTAAGTTAGTCAAAACAAAGATAGGATCATCAAAGTTACCTTATCATAATTTTTGTGCAACTGTGCCATTGAATGAAATATATCAGTAGATCGACGTTGAATCCTTAAGAGGAAAAAAGATAAACAAGATTATATCAATCTTGAATAAAAGATTTTAGAAACGGCAGTTACTTGTCCAAAAAAAGATTATTTTCGAATTAGTATCATGTTGCTTATATTATCTATCCCGTCGATGATTCTACCGAATTGATTGGTCTCCATTGGCATATGAGCTTCTGTGCGAATGCCTCGATACCGCCTTTATTTTCATTTTGAAATTAATGATGGATAATGGCTAGTTAGTGGCTAGGACCGATCAATTTGGTCCAACTAACGACAGAATAATACAAGCAAAATCATATAAACTAAACCCGTTGCACAAGTTGCTATCGTGACTCGGTAGCCTAGTGTATAACGCTCTAGTGTTTGGACCGATCGGTTCCACTTTCGAGTCTCAGTGGAGACAACATCGCTCAGTGGAAGGTAGATACATCCAACTGAAAAGTCTAAAGTAGGAAGAAACGTGCATCTTGGATTCTACTGCTGGTCACTATCTACCATTGGTATTTTCGAATAAACCAGAGTAGAGCTATCAGTTCACGTTGAAATTGCTTGATAAGAAATATTCTTTTAAGACTGTTTGAGCTCCTTCCGATTGTGTTTCCCATGAATAAGAACACTTCACTTTTGATTTATTTAGGAGAATACAAGATACATCATTAGCTGAATGATAGTTGTTACTACTGGACATCAAAAGATAGGGTTCAGGTAAGTAGTTTTATCACATCATTACAAGAAATTTCGCATAAGATTAGAATGCATAAACATAAACCACCTTTGTAATACAGTTTTTACTGGTATACTGGTTTTGTTAACTAGTCCTGTTTAGGACTCGTCAGCTAGATGTGCATGCACCCCATGAGATATGTTGTTCACAATGAAGCTCAAACCCATTAACCTTCGTTTCAAATGCCAGACAGTTATCCACTAAGCCACTGGGGCACGATAGCCACTTCTTGAGCAGCGGGTATCAGTTGTTGTTGCTGCTGTTATGAAACTCATGATTTCCCGTTGCTTTACAAGGCCAAATCGCTCAACCTCTATTGGCAGATGGGCTCCTACGCGGATGCCTCGATACCGCCGATTATTCATGATGTTACACTAATCTTAGTGACCAGCAGAGAAATCCAGGATGCGTGATTCATCCTGTTTGCGACTTGTCAGCAATTCGGCCTTCTATAGCAACAGGAAATTACAAGTATCATAACAAAAATATCTGCTGATTGTGTTGATTTTGTCTTTCATACAACGAACGGAAAGCGTATCAAATTTTATTCCTCACCAAAAAACGCTCATCAATTACAGGTTAACTATACTACCATAAAAAATCTCACACTGGATCAGAAATAAGTATTTACTTCTATCAAGAAAGGTCAATTTAGTATACTAGTATTTAACAGGATAGTGAGTAATATGGTTCAATGAAGAATTTCAATTAAATTGGAATTTCAACTCACAATAAGGAAAACTTTTGAATGAAAATAACACTGGAAGTTTACATTGCAACAGTAGTAAGTACCATATTATTGATGTCATGCCATTTCTCAACAGAATTATTTAAACTTTGTTGTGATACTTTTAAATGTTCAAAATGATGTCATTAAACACTCAGCATGATTGCTAGGATCCTTTGATATTCTATTTTTGATGGCAGCTAAGAGTAGGATCCAGATCACCCATTATGTTCTATTTCGGAATCATTACATGTGTGCGCTGGCTACCCAGCAGTCAGTTTTTTTGCAATGAAACTTGAACCCAGAACCCATACCATTTAACAGTACAGAGATATCTGCTAAGTTACTGACCCATGGTGACGACGGTTTTGCAATATGTATCAGTTTTTCTTTCCCAATAATTGTAATTTTCGAGTATCCATTTTACTGATCCCAACTAAACGGTCTCTGTCTGCATAATGGCTCCTAGAATGAATATCTCTACGAAGCCGTGGATTTTCTTTTTCACTTAAGACTGTAAAAGTACATTATTTACATACTTAAGTATACTTTTAGGCTGTTTTATATGATTTCATTCAAAGTCTTGACAAATTATTATTTTGCTAATTAGCAAGGGCAGAAAATGGTGTAAGTTTTACCCATACTTTTCTCTAGCAGCAAGTGTTTTTAATCGAGTATCTTGGGCCTGTTTCTCCTCCTCTGCATAGACTTTGTGTGACTTCACCATTTCTTGAACGCATGCAGCAAGATCTCCCTGTTAGTGAAAAAATACAAGAAAAGTGTAAAACCATATAAGTGGTTTAAATTAACCTACGCTGATCAAAATTCACATCCCCTAGCATCGTCAGAAGGAAACTTCATTAATTTTAGATCAAGATCACATTAATTTAACTCAGCTAAAGGAACTAAAGCCACGCTCATATGATATTTCCTTAGATATTATCGTTACCTTGTCAATAAACAAAAGCAGTATACTGATTATAAGTTATAATTAGAATGAGGCATTTAAGTGGACAATATTGTTCTCAATTAGCTCTTATCAGTCGTTACTCTTATATATATATATATATATATATATATATATATATATATATATAAACTTCTCATATATATAAAACGTCAAAACAATGATGGTGAATTTTTTAGGCTGTGGTTATAGGATGATAAATTGTGCTAATAGTAGCTATCCACATAATGATCATGATAATAATTTCAGTATTTATCCTAATGATGATAAGAATTATGAGAACAGCACGGTACCGAAGACACTTAAACAACTAAACATCAGAAAAATAAAAATTGCATAGAGAAGGAAGTGTGTTAATAATAAAAGTCTAAACAAATATGAAGTAAAGAAAGGAAAAGGAGTTGAAAAACTCAATTCTATCTTTGAAATCGTTTATGAAGTTTTTTCTGACTAACGTCAAGATAAAGGTTGTACAAACGTTTTCGGGATAGGAAAACTAGGCTTTTTTCTTTAATTTCCATATTGTCAGCTTTATGTAACATGTAAATCAGAACTTCACTTAAAAGATTTTGTGAGATATGATAGATTATGCTGGAGGCTTTGGTCTTATTTAATACATGACTGCTACTAGTCGAATGCGACAGAAGTGAACTTCATATTGAATTCAATTGTTCCTATGCTAACCACGGGTCAGGTTCTATGCAACATGTCCGTTAAGCTGCCTAGTGGTACACCCAATATAGCTTCCTTCATAGGAAAAGCTAATTTGGTAAACACACATAAAGGTGATAAAACTAGGCAGCTTATCTCTTGGCCAAACAAAATGATCGGTCGACTAGAAGATAACAATCGAAAATTAGTAGCATAGAAGGTAATCCCGATTGCTTTAAACAACCTTCGAAATAGAAGCTCACTAAGTGCATTTCCATTAAACTGTAGTTTCATGAATTATAATTCCTTCTGAGCATCCAGTTGCACTGATTTTTTATTCCTTTTGCATCTTTTTTAATGAAACTATAGGTGTAATCCATTTCTCCCAGTACATTATGAATGTAATTTAGCTCCTTTTGTTTCAAATTATCCGGTCAGATTCTTTTGACTCTACTTGCAAGAAATTTCGCCAGGTTTTTTTTATACCAGATAGGTGCAACGTAAAGGAAATGTATGTACTAAATCATAGAATGATCGCTCTGTAAACCCTTCTGTTTAGCAACCCATCATCTCTGCTAATCAATAGAACAACTGAAAATGTGACATACTTTGTGTTCTTCACAAGTGCAAAAAAAACAGAAGGATGGATGTCAATAAATTTTCCCAACAGTTCATTCTCATCAACGTTTTGATCAACACAACGTTTGCATATATCCAGATTATCGATGGCATCTTTCCATGATCCATTTCCTGGTTTAGAGTGAAAAAATCACCTCATGTAAGCCTCAAAGTGAACTCAAACAGTATGTCTATAATGTGTATTTATTGAACAGAAAATGTAAGTCAAGTTATATCGTAGGAGTAATTGCTTGAGACTAAGCTGTGTAGTTTCGACATTATTCTGTGTTTCCGATATTCGCTGACGAACCAGTTCCATTGTTTCAATAAGTGATAATTTGGTGAATGAAGAAGAAATATCTAAAGATATCACATTTTTCCCATTCATATTCACCTTCTCTAATTTGGAATTGAAGTTGAATGCATCTTTTGCACTATTCTTCATACAGCACCGATTAACCACTTCGCGAATGATAAGATATGGAGAATTGGACGAAGAGAAATTTTCGGTTTGTGAACTGAAGGTAGGTCTTATAACCGTGGTGTTTAACATCCTATAGGCAAAAGTGTGTAGTAGGCAGTGGTTGATCTTTAAGAATGCTTATTAAATGTCTCTCAGCCTTCGTGTTTAAGTATGTGGCTTCAAAAAATTTTTGACATATAGTTTGGTCAATCGGTGCCGAGTTCACTCTATCAACGTACTCACTTTTGTTCACTGGAATAAACTATCAGCAGAACAGAATTTATGATTGAACACTGCAACCAAGACACGAAATTCGCAGCGACAAAAAGAAAATTATACCGTTGTCTTCATATTTTACTCTAACCCATGTACACCAAGTTATTATGCATGTAAAAGTAATTTAAGAAACTTTAAAGAATTACTATGATATATAAAACTGAATTAGAAAATTTTTGATGGAACTAGGTGTATCGTAATTTTTACCGAAACAGCACCTAAACTAATGCTAAAATTGATTTCAGGTTAAAATGGCCCACGGACTGACATCAACTGGAGGGACATAGGAAAACTGGGAGCACTAAACAGCTATCTTGTCCCAGTCAGGAACTCCTCAGTAGTGCACATCCATGATCCCGCCAGGGATCGGACCCAGAACCTTCATGTTCCGCGGTCAGCACGTTACTATTGACCCACTGGGTCAGAATCCAGTGCCCTATATTTTCTACTTCAGTTAGTTCATGGTATAGCACAATGATGAACACCAACCTGAAATCAATAAATAAATTCCCAGAAAAAGTTGGGAAATTAGTTGAATAAAATGACATCAACATGAAATGTATGCAGAACAGATGATTTATTCTCGATATCATTATAATATAGAGTAAATAGATGCGTTACTGCCTAAACGTTAGACAAACACATTTCGCATCGGTTTCACTAGAAATAGAAAATACTTTAAGGACATCTACAGTCAAACATTTGTGGTATCATGTTATGGTTTGCAATGATGTTGAAATTAGTATAAAACAGACTGGGAAATGTATGTAAATGGTATGTGTTCACTGACTGAAAGAGTTAAATAGTGAAAAGTTAAGTTCAGCAACATACTGATGGAAAAATGAGACTAGATATGTGATAGTGCTGATTTCTGATGAGCGTTTCTTTACTGTGGTAAGCCTAAATGGTAACTATTTCATTCTTTTAATGAATAAAACATTTTCATCAATATTCTTTCATTTGATTAACAAAACATATTTGGAATCGGGAGAGCTAAGTCGATTGACAGAAATTTAGTAATCAGGCGAGGTTGATCAGTTTTTGTCTGCAAGCACCTGTTTAGTAGGAGGACTTATTCCCACGCTGCCATTTATGGTCAAAGAAATAATTAAACAAATTAAAAGTTTTCAAAAAGTTCCCCAGCAACGTTTATCATTTAAAATGGTGGACTTCAGACAGTTTTTAAAATCTTAGTAATTCAGAGGAGGTGCACTATGAATTCTTTACTGTCCTTCACTTGGTGAATCTATCGGATTCATGGTTGATGATTGGATTTGAAGTGAAAAGCTGAAATGTGACAAGACTTTATCGTAAAAACCTATTGGTTTGAATCCTTATATGAATGATTTTCGTTTCAACTTTGTCGTCAACCAATTGTTTTTCATTTTCCTAAGTCAAACACATTTTTAATTGCACTCTTCTCAAAAACAAATGTATCACAATAAGGGTAATACAACAAAAACAAACTAGATATGTCACAGACACGATGTTAGGAAATTTTCATGTTTATCAGTCTTTGCAGAAGTCCATAGCAGAAACCGAGATTGGCTATTGGACAGTTACAATCGCTACTAATTAAAATACTAAACTTTCCAATAACGTCACATCCGGAAATAATCTCTTCTTCAGCATCCCAGTGTAAAGCTTTCTTGCCGTCTATATATCTAATCAATAATGTGTCTTCTTCACTTTCAAATCTTCACCAGACGATCCTTATCACTTCTTGTTTTTCCTGACTTTGCGCTATATACTACTGATATAGATCTTGGGACAGATCGTGGCTGCGTACTTCTGAGAAGTCACATACTAGGACGAAACAGCTGTTCCTGATGAAAAGTACTTCAAAATAAATATTTATTTACCATTAATGTTGTTTGGATTGGTGTATTTAAGCTTCCAAGTACTTTTCCCTATCCGGAACTAAAAACATTGAGGGGAAAATAACAGCTTAAAATGCAGCCTTATTTATTTGAGAATAAAAGATACTCTTAAGTAAATAGCTGCGGAAGTTTCAGGATGACAAATGTTAGTCGATAATCACTGTTGAGAGAATAGTAATAAGTTCATGACCAAGCATATTAGTGAAATGGAAGCTTAACCAAATGTGAGAATTATTTCTAAGAAATTTATTTTCTCTAAACTTGAGTTCGAAACTGTCATCATCAGTGAGAGTATAGCACAAATTTGGGTAGCTTTTTAGGGAAAATTCAACATTGCAAAGTTACACTCTATCTCCTGCAATCGTCCATTTTTAAATGCAGTATACATAAGGTATACTTCCTGATCCCAACTGTTCTATTTACCAGTTTATCGCCTTCTATACACCTAGGTACATAGGGCATACGTACCGGAAATATCTCGTAGGATATTTCAACGCCACACATTGTGGCTGAGCAAATGATAGATAAAGACAATAAAGAGCTTGGTGTTTGGGCATTAAGTAGGTACTGGTCATTAAGTGAAAAGAGACAATGCGCCTACAGTTAGTTTCCATATATTTTTCGGTCTTGGCGTGGTTTACCTATTCACCTACTACATACGGTGAAAGCTATTGCCATACACTCTAATAAACCACATCTTTGTATTCAGAATAAACCGGTGCAATTCTGTTATCAGGATAAATGAACGTCTAACTTCAAAGAGGACGACAAGTTTGCAAATTATTTGCAAATTTCACGGAGAACTTTGACATTTCCCTCAGCTGTCCGTTGTAAGCCACTGAACGGAGATCACAAGACGTCGTCTGTGACAAAACAAGTGTCATCAACTAACGGAAGATATCAGTGGACAACGCTGATCTGTACACTTCGCTAAGTGATTAGTCTCGAACTACTTATGTTGAGTGCATGTAACTTCATTTGATTTAATTTTTTTTACCTAATGGAATAAAATTATTTGCAGATGAACACTTTCTTTGCAGATCTCATATTATTTATCTCTCTGTTGTAGCGTAATTCTTTAGCTTGATACATGCACTTTACCATAGGCATCATTTCCCATCTTCATTTCTCTAATTGTTAGCTTTGTGAATAACTTTAATCCTGTAAATAATTTTACCTAATTAACCCCACCTCTAATAAATGGCTTCTAGTTAATAGTTTTAAATCCTCTAATATCAGCATAAAAATCAATAATGAAGACCTAATCGAAATGCTTCTTTGTTCGTCTTGGTGTTCTATTTTAAATGTCTAAATGGGAATTTTTAATATTCTCCTTGTTGAAATGTAAGTTTTTCTACTCATTGACCACTAGACGGTCTTTTTCGTTCATAAAATGAAAAAACCAGTCAAACCATGGTTATCACAATTTTGCCCAAATATAGGAAAAACTATTTTTAACGTAATCTCTTGGATAAATTAAAATGATATGAAGATTTTAATGAGAGATTTATGCAGCAGAAAAAGGAATAAGTTCGTAAAAATAGTGTCCAGGGCCTCCTGTCAATTGCTTTCAACTAACTAACATCCATTACAGTGCACCGCGATGGTGAACCTCCTAACTTGGTGGCCATGATCGATAGAGTTCGGTCAATACTCGGAACTAGACAACATGAAGCTGTTAGCTCTCCAGTGACAAATCATTTCGACCTAATGAAAAACCTTTTTTCAGGACACAATAGTAGAATATAATCTGGTGCATAGAAACTAGTAATTTATCTTTACTGATTCAAGTTCTTGAAAACATTCTTTGTTTTACGCAAAACGGTACTGTCAGCTCTTATTTTCCTTTCCTAAGATAGATATGATCATGGTTGCGTTGACCTGAAGTAAAAAATAAGTTGGAGATGTATTAGGATATAATGGTCATACATTTACTTGTTTAGTAGGCCATTTATTAACATTTCAAAGACAGTTGGATTCAAATGTATGCATAGCATTTTTCAAGGAATAGTGACGTCTAATTTATTTTCATTGTGATCAAAGTCTTCCGTAAGTATAAGCCATTCTTGATGCTAACTACGTATCACGTAAAAAACAATCAAACTAGATCTTTAGTCCCTAATTTTTCTACACCTATTCACGTCATCGACAGCAATTGAAGTGACAATTTTCAACTGTAAATTGTTTACGAATACATAACTGCCACATCCATATGAAATAAACTTATGCTAGAATTATATCAATCTGCTTAAAAATATGTATATTTATGATAAATATTTACACAAAGTGATGTTTAATTTGAGTAATAATTTGAGCGAAATTGCTGCCCGTGATATCACCAATTGTTGGTACTATTTGTTCCCTAATGATAATAATAATAATAATAGTAATAATAATAGTGACAATATTAATAGTAACTCGATTCTCTTCACAATGCACAAATTTTCTATGGGTATAATGACATTTTTACATCTCATGCTGAGAAATTTTACCGATACCAACCAACCATGCTAGTTATACTTAAAAATCATGATGATTTAGCCTAACATCAAATTGGTATTTACAAGCGACTAGTCCACGAGTAACTTCAAAGATATGAATGATTTTATGGGTCGAAACTTTCAACAACTAATTTCTTCATTGAATAATAGTCATTATCATTAGAATAAAAAAACATCCCAGACATACAACAGTACTACTGAGTAGAATGGGTAGATAGAAACAGTTGGTGGTGGAAAGTATTTTTCTCTAACCGGATTAGGTCGATATAAACACCAGACACCATTTTCAAAAATTTACTTTTCAAAATCACATTACCTAATAATACACTTTGTTGATTAGCAAAACCGGTATCAGAGATGAAATCTTAAAATCTTGGTATTTGAAGAAAATCGCATCGATACAGAATTCACTTATGAGAGATATAATCAAGATATTTATTTAGAATGATAAAACATTTTTTATACTCAAAACGCCCTTTTTGAATGAATAATTAGCTGAATGACATAATTACCATTTTGAAAAATATTTTACGAGTAGTAGTAGTAGTAGTATATATATATATATATATATATATATATATATTGTTACCTGAAGTATTTTTAACTGTTCAAACACACGTTTATTAACTGATAAACGCTGTAATTTCAACGGTTTGAGTTCATTCGATAATCTTTGTTGATTATCTGATACACGTAAACGAGATAATGCCAAACTGTTCGATTCGCTTAACAATGAATGCCAGATATTCCAAACATTTGGTTGTTTATTTGATCTAGGAGTGAATTTTATTGATAGCAATCATTTCGGGGCAGGGTTATAAGCACTTACAATGGTATATCATTCCTTGTTGAATTAGAAGATGTAAATTCTTTTTTAGACAGGAAGCTATTTACAAGCTTTTGCAATGACTGACCATATTCACGTTCAATTACTGCCCTTTGTTTACAATACATTCTAGAAATAAGCGAATAACAGTAGTAAATTTATATCCTTCTAAAATAAATTACATTAGAAATTACAGAAAGAAGTTTTCATCACAAACTAGCACCAGCTAAAGAACTATCGAAAAATTGAGAGAACTAAGTAGCATAGAGATAGATTTCTGAAAGTTGTAATGAAAAGACATGACCTGTTTAGTTATCCGAGTAAGGATTGACGTAAACGATCACTGATAATATTAGATGATGGTTTCACTACGTAGTGAATTGACAGAAGTAGGAAATAGTGGAGCATTCAACTCCAGATAAGCGGCTGGAGGACAATGCGCTTCCTCTTAGAACTGATGGTCCTGGGATAGACTGTTCAAAGATACATGGTGAACAAGGCTGGGAAGTTCTAGACCAGCATGAATCAGCTATACAATGGCTCCACAATCTGATCATAATCGGTGATCAAAACTACATTCGAAAGAATAAGCCTTTACAAAAAATATAACAATAACTACTAAAGGACGGAACGGAGACAATATAGAAGTATCTTCTAGGAAATAGTCCGCATCCCACAAGAAGAAAAATAAAATTTCTTCAATTTCAAGTGACACTATAGTGCCAACTTATTCAAACAGCAGTCAAAAATTTAAAATTACCCTGTTAAACAAGCACATAAATAAGATAAACATAAATATTATTACATTAGTTTTAATTCACCCTCATGTACATAGTGAAAAATAGGGCTTCAGTACCACGTCTCCATTCCACTCCGTTCTCCGCAATCTTTCGAACCTGGCTCAACGATAGCCCAGAAGCTCTCATTTCCTCCTCACACGAACACCTCTATGTCACCCTCGCCTCGAACGCCCAACTCGCCGTTTCCCATCTGGGTTCCACTCGAGCAACTGGTCTGTGCGTGATGTCCCCAGTCGGTCTTCTCAGTGCACGCCAATCCATCTCCACTTCCTTCTGCAAATTTGTTGAGCGATAGGTTCTTGTTTCGTTGGTTCGTTCCCAGAGTTCCTTGTTGCTTATTCTTTCTGGTCACCTGATCTTCAGTAACGAGCGTAGGCAGTTGTTGATGAATGTCTGTAGTTTGTTGACAACGCCTTTCGTAACGCATCAACTCTCTGAACCAAACAGAAGCACTGACTTGACTGGATCGGTGTTGAAAATCCAGATCTTGTTGATGCCTTGTGCTGAGTGCAGAAGATCTCCACACTGGTTTCAGGTTAATGAACGCCAGTCTCGCTTTTCCGATCCTAGCTTTGACGTCCTCGTCTGTGCTGCCTGTAGTTGAAGCAGTGCTACCCAGGTAGGTGAAAGAGACTACTTCGTTCAAGTTTCTACCGTTGATGGTGATCGGTGCTTGTTGTTGACGCTGTTGTTGGTCGGCTATCATCATAACCTATGCCTTCTCTACATTCACTTGAAGCCCCATCTTCACTGCCTCTTCTGTAAACTTGTTAGTTTTCGCCTGTAGATCTTCAAGTTTGTGTGACATTAGACATAATTCATCGGTGAAATCGAAATCTTCTAGGGTCCCCTCATCAGTCCAGCGTATCCCCCTCTTCTCGCCCCTCACTGTTTGTTGCATGATCCAGTCCACTACAATCAGGAAGATCATTGGTGATAGTAGACAGCCTTGTTTCACTCCTGTCCTCACTTACTTCAAAGGTATCACTGAGCTTCCCATTGTGAATTACTTGGCATGTGGAGTCTTCATACAGTTGTTGAATGAGGTTGATAAAGGTTTGTGGTATTCCGTAGTGTTGAAGCAACTGTCAAATTACCTCTTGGTCGACGCTGTCGAAGGCCTTTTCAAAATCGATGAAGTTGAGGTAGAGGGTTGACTGCCATTCTATGCCCTGTTCTATGACGATACGAAGCGTTACAATTTGGTCCGCACATGATTTGTACTTCCTGAATCCAGCTAGTCTGTTCCGGTCGTAGTTTTGAATCCAGCGCATCCTTTAGTCTCTCCAGGAAGATGCGACCTAATATTTTGCTTGGGGTGGACAGAAGCATGATTCCTCGTCACTCCTTGCAAAGGCTTAGGTCGCCATTCTTCGGGAGTTTGACAAGGTAGCCCCTCTCCCAATCTCCAGGTACCTTTCCTTCCTTCCAGACCTTCTGCAACAGCGGTGTGAGCATGTCCGCTGTTGTCTCTGCATCTGTTTTCAGTGCTTCTGGCGGGATTCCATCTGGTCCTGCTGCTTTCCCGCATTTCAGTAGCCTTATGTCATTCAGGACTTCGACTTTCGTCGAAAGGCTTGTGTTTACTTGTAGTTCTGCTGTCGCTGGTGGTATTTCTGGACAAGTTTCAGATGGTGGTCGATTCAACAGCTTTTCGAAATGGTCACCACATCGTTTCTTTTGTTTCTCTTCTTTGGTAATTAAATTGCCTTCATCATCTTTTATTCGTTTCATCTGTGTTGGTCCCATCCCAGATAGTAACCTGGTTATTTGATACAATGTTGTCAGGTCTCTCCTACCAGCTCTCAGCCTGTTCTGCTTCACTTGCCAGTGTGTCGTAGAAGTGTCTTTTGTCTTTCCGTGCACTCTTCTTCACTTCTTTGTCCAGTGTTTTGTACGTTGTACTCAGTCCCTCTTCTCGTCGTTCATCCTTGCACTAGTTTATCTTCTGCTCCACCATCCTTATCTCCCTGCTATATCAGCTTCCAGGTATCCGTCGAGATCCATTCCTTATCTTCTTTCTTCTTCCTTCCTAACACGGTTATGCAGGTTTCTTTCCACATAGCCTTAAAAGAGTTCCAGTGCTCATCCACACAGGTTTCTTCAAGGATGTTGCTCGATATCTCCCATTTTGTCTTGATGGCTTACATGAAGATTTCCTTTGTAGTTTTGCCCTTCAGTCTCTGTTCTGGGTGTTGGACTTCAACTGTGGTCGTCTATCACCAACTTCCTTGAAGGCTTTCAACTTGATTTTGAAGGTTCTTTGCACTAGATAGTGAGTGGTGTAAACCTACATCTGCTCCCCTTCTTAATCTTGTGTCCAGTAGACTACATGTCCACTTTCTTGAGACTGAGATGAAGTCGATCTGATTTTTAGTGTGTCCATCTGGCGAAATCCATGTCGCTCGCTTTGTTGATATCCTTGTGCTTGAACACACTGTCTCCATTCACCAAATCGTTGAATGCACAGAATTCTGTGAACAGTTCTCCATTCTCGTTCATTTCACCGAGCGCTTTTCGACCCATGATGAGTTCTCTTCCTGTGTTGTCCGCTCCCAGTTTGGCACTCATGTCGCCCATTAGAATTTTGATTGCACCAACTGGAGTCTTGTCTAGTACTGATTGTAGTTGTCTGTAGAATCCCTCCTTCTCTTGATGTGCATTATTTGTAGGTGCATAGCTTAGCATTATGTGATTGTGACTTTCCTTCCTTTTGAGTTGAACCTTACCGTCATGATCCTGCAGGAGGAGATTGGTTCCCACTGTATGAGAGCCTTTGATGCTCCCGGGAACACTATGATAGCCACTCTCTCAGTGTGCTCGTGGTTGTCATCTGGGTGACCGGAGTAGATTATTGACTCTCCAGTTGACAGTTTGGAGAGTTCACTTCCATTCCACCTGCTTTCGCAGATTCCTAACACTTCAGTGCTATACCTTCTCATCTCACTTGCAATCTAGGCAGCCCTTTTGGGTTCAAACGTAGTGCGGACATTCCATGTTTACTTTCACTTTCATCGAGAGAAGACACATCGGCCGAGTGGCTTCCCGAAGGATTTCACCAACCGGCGTCATTTGTCTCTCCGATTCCAGCGAGGAGTAATTTTGTTTTCATTTTTATATTTTGTTTGTGCTTAGAAGTTTCCTTAGCGATTGGGTCTGTTTTACGGGGTAGGGTTGCTAGTCTTATGCCCAACCTTCCCTCTTTATCCGGGTTTCGGACCGGCTAGTAACTAGTGAACCAGTTAACTGGGCGATAACACGATAATCTTTCAAAAATGTTCACATTGCTAATGTAATTTATTCCACCTAGATGTTTCTCAACTTGTAATCTTATATGGCTACCAGGTTCATCCAAAATTAGTAAGTAATACCTTTATTCACAGAAAATATGAATATGCACTAACTTCATACAGTCCCATTTCACCTGTCAAATGCCGACTACTATTTTGCTCAATTAGTTTACTATTCTAATTTGTAATGTGCATGTATTTATACTAATATTTTATTGTAACACATATAATCACGTATATATGAGGTCAACCCTTTACCCAGACTGATGAGTTTAACAAATCCTGTTTTGTTTAGCTAGTTGATTATTTTAATTCTGCATCAAGGTACTGGAGTTGTGACTCAGTGGTGTAGGGGGGATGACTACGAACCAATGTGTCATGGGTTCAAACCCAGCTCCACCTATCGAGGTTTGGTCAGCTAGGTAGTATTACTGGTCCTAATGCAATAGATGTGAGTCACTGCCGACTGTGAGGATGTGCACAAGGTGGTTGAGCTATAGTTACGTCAAAGTAACACAGTCTAATCATAAAAATTCGCTATTCTGTCACCTCATGAGTTCAGAGTAAGCGAAAACCAGTGTCAGAGATTGGATAATCTTCAAATCGAATTCAACACACATTTTATACATTTATTGTACAAATTTTGTGAAATGCACCTCGGCAGATAGAAAAGAAACATGCTACAATAGTTTCATTATCTTAAACCAACAATAACATCGACGTCCGTTGCTTAAAAGATAAACTGAGTCGTTCATTATAAGCCTTGTACATGAAAACTAACTTTAACTCAATTTAAAAATGTCTGGATGAGTGAAGATGAACACTGACTTACCTCAGATCATCTAACAAGTCAGTTTCCAATGCATGTTTGCCCTGGAGTTTTGCATAGTGTTCATTGTGAATAGTTTTCAGTTGATTGAGAGGTTTAATCGACTGAATGAAAGAGCAAAATATCAATGCAGCATGAATTTTTCAATTTCACTGGATAAGGAAACGTACAGGAGATAAGACCCTACAAATGTTTTCAAGCCTTTTATTTCCGACCACGGTAATTCAAAATTGTTAATAGACTGTAGTGAAATACATTTTACTATTGTCAAGTAGAAGGAAGTATACGTGGTGTTTTAAAAAGTTAGAAGAATAACGAAGTTATATGCTGATAGTAATCACCTCGAGACCTCACCAATAGTACATTCATCAAACTTCATGTAAATTTGTAAAAGTGTGGAAAGGCATATTTTTAGCAGACTCATTCAAAAAAATTTAATAGAAGATACTGATACTAAAGTTGTGCTTGCTAAAGCATTTAATTAGTTATTCATACAACTGAAATAATCTAAATGAAAAGTTCTTCTAATTCCCCACACAGGGAGAATGAACACTACAACCACACATTCATCAATTTCTAATGCAACTAGCTAATTCTATTTTTAAATAATTGAGCTGATCAAGTAATTACTGAATGGCAAAAGACAGCCTAACATGAAGCGGAATGATACACATCACTAGTTTAGACCATGTACATGTTATACACTATTCTACTATTAAACATTCATCTAATAAAACTGCTACCCGGTCATTCGTTGTTGGACGAAATCAAGAAGTTCAGAAATAACAAAAGGTTTCTTGTGTCTTACAGTCATATAAGATACCTTAGAATAAAATTCCAAAGCACTTACGGAGCTAAGTATAAGATGAAAAGTATACCAGATTTGAGTGTCATACAAAGTTAAAAAAAGTCACATTTTCTCTACTACTACTGCCCATTGGGTTCCGCCATAACTTGATTTATCTCAACACAGCAGGTGAATACTAGCAATTAATTACATTGATGTTTCTGAGTATTCAAAAGACTTTGGCACTTGACAGCATAAAACCTAACGTCAGATTTAAGTGAAAAATAGATACCTCTATGTCTATGGCAAAACTTCCAAAAGCATTACAAATCTCCAAACCATTTGATTATTAGAATTCGAAGATGGAAGAAAAACCTAACTTCTTTTCACTGGCTTATAGCCATTGGCAATTACAGTAAGCTGCAATAGTGTACCAACAAAAGATGGGCAAATGGAGGTGACAGGAAAGAAAACAGGCAAATGAATAGTTCATTATTATTATTATTATTATTAATATTATTATCATTATATTAATTTTCCTTGTCCCTCGGGCACCTAGCAGAACACAGGGATTCAGTACCACGTCTCCATTCCACTCCGTTCTCCGCAATCTTTCGAACCTGGCTCAACGATAGCCCAGAAGCTCTCATTTCCTCCTCACACGAACACCTCTATGTCACCCTCGCCTCGAACGCCCAACTCGCCGTTTCCCATCTGGGTTCCACTCGAGCAACTGGTCTGTGCGTGATGTCCCCAGTCGGTCTTCTCAGTGCACGCCAATCCATCTCCACTTCCTTCTGCAAATTTGTTGAGCGATAGGTTCTTGTTTCGTTGGTTCGTTCCCAGAGTTCCTTGTTGCTTATTCTTTCTGGTCACCTGATCTTCAGTAACGAGCGTAGGCAGTTGTTGATGAATGTCTGTAGTTTGTTGACAACGCCTTTCGTAACGCATCAACTCTCTGAACCAAACAGAAGCACTGACTTGACTGGATCGGTGTTGAAAATCCAGATCTTGTTGATGCCTTGTGCTGAGTGCAGAAGATCTCCACACTGGTTTCAGGTTAATGAACGCCAGTCTCGCTTTTCCGATCCTAGCTTTGACGTCCTCGTCTGTGCTGCCTGTAGTTGAAGCAGTGCTACCCAGGTAGGTGAAAGAGACTACTTCGTTCAAGTTTCTACCGTTGATGGTGATCGGTGCTTGTTGTTGACGCTGTTGTTGGTCGGCTATCATCATAACCTATGCCTTCTCTACATTCACTTGAAGCCCCATCTTCACTGCCTCTTCTGTAAACTTGTTAGTTTTCGCCTGTAGATCTTCAAGTTTGTGTGACATTAGACATAATTCATCGGTGAAATCGAAATCTTCTAGGGTCCCCTCATCAGTCCAGCGTATCCCCCTCTTCTCGCCCCTCACTGTTTGTTGCATGATCCAGTCCACTACAATCAGGAAGATCATTGGTGATAGTAGACAGCCTTGTTTCACTCCTGTCCTCACTTACTTCAAAGGTATCACTGAGCTTCCCATTGTGAATTACTTGGCATGTGGAGTCTTCATACAGTTGTTGAATGAGGTTGATAAAGGTTTGTGGTATTCCGTAGTGTTGAAGCAACTGTCAAATTACCTCTTGGTCGACGCTGTCGAAGGCCTTTTCAAAATCGATGAAGTTGAGGTAGAGGGTTGACTGCCATTCTATGCCCTGTTCTATGACGATACGAAGCGTTACAATTTGGTCCGCACATGATTTGTACTTCCTGAATCCAGCTAGTCTGTTCCGGTCGTAGTTTTGAATCCAGCGCATCCTTTAGTCTCTCCAGGAAGATGCGACCTAATATTTTGCTTGGGGTGGACAGAAGCATGATTCCTCGTCACTCCTTGCAAAGGCTTAGGTCGCCATTCTTCGGGAGTTTGACAAGGTAGCCCCTCTCCCAATCTCCAGGTACCTTTCCTTCCTTCCAGACCTTCTGCAACAGCGGTGTGAGCATGTCCGCTGTTGTCTCTGCATCTGTTTTCAGTGCTTCTGGCGGGATTCCATCTGGTCCTGCTGCTTTCCCGCATTTCAGTAGCCTTATGTCATTCAGGACTTCGACTTTCGTCGAAAGGCTTGTGTTTACTTGTAGTTCTGCTGTCGCTGGTGGTATTTCTGGACAAGTTTCAGATAGTGGTCGATTCAACAGCTTTTCGAAATGGTCACCACATCGTTTCTTTTGTTTCTCTTCTTTGGTAATTAAATTGCCTTCATCATCTTTTATTCGTTTCATCTGTGTTGGTCCCATCCCAGATAGTAACCTGGTTATTTGATACAATGTTGTCAGGTCTCTCCTACCAGCTCTCAGCCTGTTCTGCTTCACTTGCCAGTGTGTCGTAGAAGTGTCTTTTGTCTTTCCGTGCACTCTTCTTCACTTCTTTGTCCAGTGTTTTGTACGTTGTACTCAGTCCCTCTTCTCGTCGTTCATCCTTGCACTAGTTTATCTTCTGCTCCACCATCCTTATCTCCCTGCTATATCAGCTTCCAGGTATCCGTCGAGATCCATTCCTTATCTTCTTTCTTCTTCCTTCCTAACACGGTTATGCAGGTTTCTTTCCACATAGCCTTAAAAGAGTTCCAGTGCTCATCCACACAGGTTTCTTCAAGGATGTTGCTCGATATCTCCCATTTTGTCTTGATGGCTTACATGAAGATTTCCTTTGTAGTTTTGCCCTTCAGTCTCTGTTCTGGGTGTTGGACTTCAACTGTGGTCGTCTATCACCAACTTCCTTGAAGGCTTTCAACTTGATTTTGAAGGTTCTTTGCACTAGATAGTGAGTGGTGTAAACCTACATCTGCTCCCCTTCTTAATCTTGTGTCCAGTAGACTACATGTCCACTTTCTTGAGACTGAGATGAAGTCGATCTGATTTTTAGTGTGTCCATCTGGCGAAATCCATGTCGCTCGCTTTGTTGATATCCTTGTGCTTGAACACACTGTCTCCATTCACCAAATCGTTGAATGCACAGAATTCTGTGAACAGTTCTCCATTCTCGTTCATTTCACCGAGCGCTTTTCGACCCATGATGAGTTCTCTTCCTGTGTTGTCCGCTCCCAGTTTGGCACTCATGTCGCCCATTAGAATTTTGATTGCACCAACTGGAGTCTTGTCTAGTACTGATTGTAGTTGTCTGTAGAATCCCTCCTTCTCTTGATGTGCATTATTTGTAGGTGCATAGCTTAGCATTATGTGATTGTGACTTTCCTTCCTTTTGAGTTGAACCTTACCGTCATGATCCTGCAGGAGGAGATTGGTTCCCACTGTATGAGAGCCTTTGATGCTCCCGGGAACACTATGATAGCCACTCTCTCAGTGTGCTCGTGGTTGTCATCTGGGTGACCGGAGTAGATTATTGACTCTCCAGTTGACAGTTTGGAGAGTTCACTTCCATTCCACCTGCTTCCGCAGATTCCTAACACTTCAGTGCTATACCTTCTCATCTCACTTGCAATCTAGGCAGCCCTTTTGGGTTCAAACGTAGTGCGGACATTCCATGTTTACTTTCACTTTCATCGAGAGAAGACACATCGGCCGAGTGGCTTCCCGAAGGATTTCACCAACCGGCGTCATTTGTCTCTCCGATTCCAGCGAGGAGTAATTTTGTTTTCATTTTTATATTTTGTTTGTGCTTAGAAGTTTCCTTAGCGATTGGGTCTGTTTTACGGGGTAGGGTTGCTAGTCTTATGCCCAACCTTCCCTCTTTATCCGGGTTTCGGACCGGCTAGTAACTAGTGAATTAGTTAACCAGGCGAGGTTTCAATAGAATTATATGCATGTGATTTACTCTTTTATCTAGTGTTTAACGGTTATATCTTCGGCTGACGAAATTGTAGCTTTATGATTTTGTTTTCTTCTAGAGATTTCTCGCCTTAGGGTTATCAATCGAAAGAACTTGTAGTCCACTGCCTCTACGTAGAGAAGCCAGCTGACTGAATTGCTTTTCTATTCCATTATCAACCATTTGTATCAACAGTGGTGTTTTTTCATGGTTGCTGTGCCTAGGTTTTATTTTGTTAGCTTTTGATAGATTTAATTAAATCATTAAGGATCTCTAAAATATTTTTAGATAACAATATATTGAATTTTGAAAGTATTTATTCCGTGTAATAGGTGTCTACATAAAAATTTGGTTTTTCTCCAAATTTGTCTGTCAAAATTTATGGCAGTTTCTTGTCAACTAAATTTTCTGTTGAACAAGACTTGTGGGACTAGCAGTCACGCTTGATTTCGAATTAAATCAAATTAACTAACTGGTTGACTCGCGGACAGGATATTATTGTCAGGAGTGAAAACGATTTTGTTATGCCCATGCTAAAGTTTGTGTAGGTGTAACCATGACTATTAGATTTTGTCTTCCGGCGATGAGCAGGTCACTCTGAGTTGAAGTTTAGGGCTACATTGCACAAAATAATACTGAACTTTAATTTTTATTTTGATCTTTTCTGCATTATATTTTGATCTATATTTGGCTATGATTCTAAGTTTGGTAATAAACCAGTAAACATGTATTAGGTAGTGCATACTGCCCTTTTCTATCCACTTGTTCTTTAAATGCTACTGTAAATTGTGACAACTTGAGTCGATTCACCTGTGTGTGAGACTCTAATTTTTTCTATCATACTGCTTATGTTCTATGAACTAGTTAACGCAAATAAATTGTTTTAAACTTTTGTCAGTTGTGAATCTGAAGATCGTAGTCACCATTCTGGTATATAACCCTCTCGAGGTTAGATGAATAGTCTGACCCAGGTAATTACCAAGAGAATGATATTTGACAAATAGTCTTAGTTACCGAGTGTTTTGTTCTGTGTGTTGAAAAGCTCTTCATTAGTCATATTAATCGAGCTCAATTTCCTCCAAAAATAAATTTATTTAAAAAAATCTCCACGACACCATGACTAGCACTATCTTTGAATTCGAATTAGGACATTCAGCTTGAGATATCTATTAAATAATTAATCCCCCCAATGAGATGATTAAATTGAATGTTTTTTTTCAACGTTACAAATATGCTTTTATAGTATTTCGTCGCTGCAAGAATCATAATTGCTTTAGAGGATAGTAAGTTCTTTGTTGCTCGTCAGTCCTCGACTTTAATCTCAATAACATGTGGTTGGGAGCAAAAAGTAACGGCGTATTCGATGACCATATCGCAGTAGCATCACACACAACTCATAAAAATTTAGTGAATATGAAGCACAAAACTTTCAACTTAGTACCCAAAAAGTGTTCACAAAACGTCGTTGGAGAGCAAACCGACAGATTTTCATAAAATGAGTAGTTTGCGTGATGAAATTAATTCATGGGAACTAAAATACCCTGCGCAAAAAAATTAAGTAGAGTATTTTGTTGTAAACTGAAACATTTAGTAGTAGTGATCATTAGTCCCCTATCCCAGTCACCCACGATTAGTAATTAAATGAGAAGATAGGCGACAGCAAATTTATCAGCTCCGTTGGCAACTAGTAGCAATAGACTTAAAATTACGTGATAGGGTCTTTCGTGGCATCTATAAGATGGCCGATAGGTTGATTTTAGATAGTTTCATCAACAGTAAATCGATCTATCATACTAAGCATGCAGTTGATCGAATTCATGTTAACTGGAGTAAACGTAATTACGAAAAAAGTAATTAGGTAGGACATATGAAAATATTATGATACCACTTATTATATAGTAGGCTTTCTACAAAACTACCACATTCTCAATCGAAAAAAGCATTTCATGACTGTTCTAGGGTAGTTTAGCTCCTATAATTCTAGCCAACAGGATTTTCGTCATTCTTTGCGAAGCAGAAAACCGAATGCTGAGAGTTGTAGCTTTAGGAGCACACCTAAGCTTCGAGCCTCACACCTAGTGGTTTAAGCACTTCAGCAATGTCACGTGACACATGCTTGATTTTCCACTGGGTACATATAGGAAAATCAAGCAAACACAAAGCGGACCTTTTTGAGGAAAAGATGCCAAATGACTCACATAAAGGACAGCGCTTCAGGAAAAATTCCTATTATTGAAGTGAGCATATTAAGAGAATATGATAGTTTACATAAAACCTAATAAAAATGTATTTCACGGCAATAATACCGATTTCATGGCATTGATAAGCCCGGAAAAAGCTGAGTGAAAGATGGACGTTCATGGACAAGATAACAGTCTAGTCTCGTGACGAATTTAAAATAGTTTTATGATTTGAATTCAAATGATTAGCCATTAGGTTCTATTTCAAAACATTCCCTCGAACTGAAAAACAAAACGATTAAGGCCCGGTCTTAGATTAAAAACCTCGACTTTACAAAAACAAAAGACTGGGCCCTATATTACCAAACTATTACCTTACGCCCGGCATAATTCATCGTCCGGCCTTGAAATAACCGTATTCAGACTTACAATGAGCACAACATAATAGAGTGGATAAACAAAACAGCTGCAAAGGTTAAATTCTAATATCAAACACCCAATATCAATGGCGTGAGTTGAGAAAACTTAAGGTTTTTGAGCTCTCGCTCCTAGGTCTTGAGGCTCGGTTCTTTTTGTTAGGTTGTAATCCTTTGAAGATCACAGAAGCCTTTGCATTTTCTTGCCTATAGCTTTAGAGGTAGTAATTGTCTATTTTAGGTATTTTACCTGCTAATTGTAGCTTAGCTTGTTTTGAGAGGGACGGTGGAGCTGCGGGAAAGATTAATTAACCGTTTGCGACCCTCAGTTTTGTAAGCACATGGAAGCAATTATTAAGCTTTACTTAAAAAGTGCTAGAAATTGGGTGCGGAGAATGAGAAAAAGAATAGCGAAGAGTACTTATGAAAAGATGATTATCGCCATGGAGTGAACCGAACAACTGGAACCAAGCCCTAAGAACTAGACGCGAGAGATCAAAAACTACTAGTTTTCTACGCTCGCACTATCAATATTGGATATTGGATTGGATGGCAATAGCATAGAGATGGGACGCGTCTTATTGCGAATGCTATGGTTGTGAAATTTAGGGATAGAAGAGCGTATCATCAGTTGCTACTGAAAAATGTTCGGGGTAAACCACTTGCATTCACCTACTCATCTGGTAATCGTGTGAAGAAGTCAGCTAATGTAGCCATGGCTACTTCCTTCGGCAGGGCACTCCATAAGGCACATACTCCGTGGGAGAAGAAGTTAGATCTCACTCTCGTCTTTGCCCTGTGGTGGGGTATGCGGGTGGGGTTCCAACGGACTGTCGATTTGAAACCGACTACGTTGTCCCATTTGGGTGGTCGACTTGGTGTAGGCTGTTATCAGGTCACCTCGTTTCCTTCGATAGCTTGGTGTGAACAAGTTGAGTTTTCCGAGGTGTTGCGCTTATGTCTTCCCTGTTAGTCTGACAACCAACATTGTGGCCCTTCCCTGTACCTTCTCCAGAGTAATTGCGTCTCTCATTGGTAGTGGGGGGTGGCTGTCGTGTTGAACTCCTCTAGGTGTGGTCCAACATAGGCCTTAAGCACCACAGGGAATAACTCTGGGGTATACGATCCAGGCTGCTCTCTTAGAAAGTGCATAATGGCGTTCGTCTTTGCTGCCATTCCCTTATAATTGCCAGTGGTATGCAGTGGGTCGAAAAATTTTATTCCCATGTCCTTGCCAGTGGATACCTTGATCATTGCACACTCGTTAAAAGTGGGACTGGTTTTCGTCACCTCTGGTGCGTGAAGATACATCGCCTTTCCTTTCTTTGCGTCAAAGCTTAAACCGTTTGCACCTGACCAGGACTCCAACTGCAACAGGCTGTTGTGGAGTATTCTAGGATGCCCTTCCTCACTCGTTGTACTAAGCACCTTGATGTCATCGGAGGATAGACGGTGAGATTTTAATGGGCAGGCCATCTCTAAAAATAATGGAAATATGAGTGGCCCAGGGACCGCTCCTTGAGAAATTCCCGTTCTTACATTCTCCAGGTTGATTGAATTCTGTTTCCTTTACCGCAGAATTCCTTGTCCTCTAGAAGTGCTGTAAACCCTGCTTCGAGTGGTCCAGTGATACCCACTTTTACAAGCTTAGTAAGCATAGTGCGGCTTGGGACGCCTCCGAAAGCTTTGGCCAGGTCCAAGAGGATAACGTGAAGTGTCTGCTTTTGTCCCATCTGGAGGCTCGGTTATCCCAAGCGGTTGCCAGGTTTGTGGCACATGGCTGTCCGGCTCTGAAGCCATGTTGGGCGGGATGAACGATGTTGTTTCCTTTCAGGCAGCCCCAAACAACATCCGCAACCAGGCTTTCCAGTACTTTGGAGGGTATGGGAAGCGATGCTGTTGGTCTGTAGTTGCACCAGTTATTTACCAGCCTCGTCCCCTGAAGATTTGTGGGAACATTGCGCGTTTCCATTAGTTGAAGATTTGACCCAATTCCGAAGAGTGTGTGAACAGGCTGCAAATGGATATGCTTGGCACTTTAGCACAGCTGCGTAGGACCACCCGTCTGATACCGCCACAACCCGGAGATTTACCTATTCTCAGTGTTGAACTTTTCGTAAACACTTGCTTCGACAAAAGGCTTTACGTTCATCAGCTTCGCATCGCAGTCCTGGAACTTCGTTACACAACTGGATGTCAGTGGCGGATGCATTACTGGGTTGAGTTGCCCCTCAGCAGCTCCGCTATCCCAATGCCGTTCAGAGATTCTCCGACCGGTCCTGTGAAGAGTTTTAAACCCTTATCCGTCGGTTTGCATAGTGACAGAGATCGATATAGACTTTTGGGATTGTAACTTAACTGTTTAGCCAGGTTGCTCTAGTATGCGTACCAGTCATTACGAACTCACATGTCATATAAGTTGCGCAACGCCTTGTATCTAAGAAAGTCTGATTCTTTGTTTGGCGTGCGCCACCGATACCACGCCTTCTTTTTTCTGTGTTTTTGCCTCTGGGTTGCGCGAGTTACCCACGACCGTTTGAGAGGTCTGGTTGATTTCGGTACACTTTTCGATATGTTCCAGATAATATCTTTAATGCGTCCAGTGTTCGTTTATCGATGGTGAATGGCAATCTTGTGGCCATGAAACCCCCAGGAGCTTATTGTTCATGAGATGGTAGTCTGCTTTTCGGTAACAGCGGAACGCTTCCAGGCTATGCCATTGATAGTTTCCCTTTGGTTATCAGGGAGAATCTTACCAAGGCAAGGTCGCTTTCGCCTAAAGGGCGGCTGAAAACAGGCACCATCCACCGAAGGATCATCGTCTGTTAAAACACGGTCGAGTGGCAATCCTTTTCCATTCGGTCCCCATCCGGAGTTCTCCCCAACCTTCCCTGTCAATCCTTATGCGATAAACGTATTTCAAAGTTTATATTCGAAAGACATGCCCACATCTGACTTCACATCCTAGGTCGAGTGCCAGTGTAATAGTCTCCAGCTAGGGTTACATAGTCATAGGCTGCCAAGGTGGTTGTTGAAGTGACGCCGAGTACTTGTCTTATTCTCTCTCATGCGGATAGGAGGCCCGTGTACCACTCCCAATAGTTACTCAGTTTAGTTGATGATGAAGTGGCATCATAAGTAGTCCAGCAGTAGGCCAAACACACCATCAGCCTCTTTCTAGACTTTTAGGTGCGTGCTATTGTACATGGCAACTCCCTCACCTTCTTTGAAGTGCCTTACCTTTCCGAACGAGGTCATTTCCCTAGCCACGTCTCCGTGATGAGAATTATACCCGCTTTCAGATTATGGTACACTGTCTTTAGCTCCAATAGGCTACTCCTAAGAAGAAGCATGTCAAGAAGCTGCGTTTTGGGCCTAGTGCAATATAGAGACTTGCTTGGAGGCTGGTATGTTGTATCTGATTCTGATTGCCAGTCCCTGCTAGACTGACGAGCCTACGTGTTTTGGTCCATCTTGGCATCCTGGTGTTGTCGTGGCGGTATTGTTCATTGTTATGTCAACAGATAGTTCATTAGCTAGTTCTTTTGTAGCCAGTAATGTTTGTGGTATTTTCGGAGGTTACCTCCTATCTGTCAGCCCGGCAGATCGTGGATCGCTTTTGCAGTATCGTATAGTGCCTCCTAAATGATTTTTTACATAGTACCATGCCATGAGAACTGCTATTAATGAGGCTTCATAGTCAAAGCGTACAGCTGGCAATCTTGGTGAGGGGATGCTCTGCAGGTGCGTAGGTTTGGTAACCTACTTGCTTTGCTGGCAGGCGAATTTTCAAGTTCCATATTTGTGGCTGGCTATCTTCACTACCCAACATCATACAGGTTATTATCACGCTTTGTAGATACACCTGCCAGTTCAGGTATTCCATGCACCACCGTGGTTGCATCTTTGTGCAGATCACTAAGTGAGGACTTTCTCTCCGCCTCTGGTGACCCAAGGCTTGTCTGGTTTCACCCTTATGGGGCAGGAACCCACAGTGTCTGGTCGGTGCAACAGTAGCAGTATGTTCTCCTACTGTCTTACTGTCGTTGCTGATACCCTGAGAGGTGGCGGCTTGTCTCGAGGTGCCCAACTTCCTCAAGGGAGGAGGCATGGGTTGGCTGCAACAGTCTCCATTCTGAACTTCCTGCAGTAGTCGTCCCACTTCTCCTTATCAAACTGTTCTCTTTTTTAGATTGAGTCTGTTGGTACAGGGGCGTTGAACGGAGTGAAGGAATCCGTCCTCTTGTCCTGTTAGTGTGGGATATTGGGTTTGGTGGCCAGTGTTTTCGGTCTACTCTTTACCTTATTCACTTCCTTCCGTGCGTTCTCAGCACAACCCATTTCGTGAGGTTGTTCAGTTCCGTTGGGTCCTCTGGGTTCCATCGACACAAAGGAGGATTTAGTTTCTGCCTCACTTGAAGTGGAGCTAGTTCCCTCCTACCTCTAGGGGTGACACTTGCACACTGGTGAAGGTTGACCGGTTTCTGAGGAAAGAAATGAGAGCTCATGCTTGGCAACACGTTTGACTGTACCAAGTTTTCCAGTTTGCCGGTGGTGGTAGCAGGTGATTTCTTACACTCTGGAAATATATACTACCCACGAAAAGTTTGTGTCACTAATAGTGCAAAGACAGGAGGCCGGTTGCCATCGGCTGTTAATAAACGTTGCAGCGTGAGGTGCAGAAGGGTGCTCGGCTGGTGGAGATCACGAGAATCTGGGGGGAAAGGGGCGGGAAAAAAGCCGGTCAAAGACCAAGCGAGAGCAGACAATCGCGCAACTTTTGAAAGTAGCAGATAGCAAATAGACAGAAGTAGATCACGTGCACTCAGGTTCAGATTCTAGTTCGTTGTTTGAGTAAATGAAGCTGTGGGCTTATATTAATCTTCTCCCAGTAGATTTCTGTGCTTGTCCAATCCCCTTTTGCACTAGTCGATTAACGATGCGGACGCTACATCTGGGAATCGGTTCAGGCGTAGATTTCTCGACGCTAGAACCAGTACTCTGCAGGGACCATGTTCCTTCTTT